CCAAAAAATTTAAATTTACTTATTTTGAAAATTCCAAAGTTTGGTATCTTTTTAAATTTTTATGAAAATCTGTTTTTATGTTTTTTTCCTTAAATTTGGTTTAAAAACAAACAACTTTTCCTTTAGACACATTTCCGTAGAACAAAATTCTAAAAAGTTATCACAATTTTCCAAAAAAATTGAAATTTACTTATTTTGAAAATTCCAAAGTTTGGTATCTTTTTAAATTTTTATGAAAATCTGTTTTTCTGCACTTTTCTTTAAATTTGGTTAAAAAACCAGCAACTTTTCCATTGATCACTTTTTAGTAGAACAAAAATCAAAAAAGTTATCACAATTTTCCAAAAAAATTGAAATTTATTTATTTTAAAAATTCCAAACTTTGGTATCTTATTAAAATTTTATCAAAATCAGTTTTTCTGTTTTGTTCCTCAAATTTGGTTTAAAAACATACAACTTTTCCTTTAGACACATTCTCGTAGAACAAAATTTTAAAAAGTTATCGCAATTTTCCAAAAAATTGAAATTTACTTATTTTGAAAATTCCAAAGTTTGGTATCTTTTTAAAATTTCATCAAAATCTGTTTTTCTGTTTTTTTCCTTAAATTTGGTTTAAAAACAAACAACTTTTCCTTTAGACACATTTTCGTAGAACAAAATTTTAAAAAGTTATCACAATTTTCCAAAAAATTGAAAATTATTGATTTTGAAAATTCGAAAGTTTGATATCTTTTTAAATTTTTATGAAAATCTGTTTTTCTGTTTTTTTCCTCAAATTTGGTTTAAAAACAAACAACTTTTCCTTTAGACACATTTTCGTAGAACAAAATTTTTAAAAGTTATCACACTTTTCCAAAAAAATTGAAATTTACTTATTTTAAAAATTCCAAAGTTTGGTATCTTTTTAAAATTTTTACAAAATCTGTTTTTCTGTTTTTTTCCTTAAATTTGGTTTAAAAACAAACAACTTTTCCTTTAGACACATTTTCGTAGAACAAAATTTTAAAAAGTTATCACAATTTTCCAAAAAATTGAAAATTATTGATTTTGAAAATTCCAAAGTTTAGTATCTTTTTAAAATTTTATCAAAATCTGTTTTTCTGGACTTTTCCTTAAATTTCGATCAAAAACAAACAACTTTTCCATTGAACACTTTTTAGTAGAACAAAAATCAAAAAAGTTATCACAATTTTCCAAAAAAATTGTAATTTATTTATTTTGAAAATTCCAAAGTTTGGTATCTTTTGAAAATTTCATCAAAATCTTTTTTTCTGTTTTTTTCCTTATATTTGGTTTAAAAACAAACAACTTTTCCTTTAGACACATTTTCGTAGAACAAAATTTTAAAAAGTTATCACAATTTTCCAAAAAATTGAAAATTATTGATTTTGAAAATTCGAAAGTTTGATATCTTTTTAAATTTTTATGAAAATCTGTTTTTCTGTTTTTTTCCTCAAATTTGGTTTAAAAACAAACAACTTTTCCTTTAGACACATTTTCGTAGAACAAAATTTTGAAAAGTTATCACACTTTTCCAAAAAAATTGAAATTTACTTATTTTAAAAATTCCAAAGTTTGGTATCTTTTTAAATTTTTATGAAAATCTGTTTTTCTGCACTTTTCCTTAAATTTGGTTAAAAAACCAGCAACTTTTCCATTGATCACTTTTTAGTAGAACAAAAATCAAAAAAGTTATCACAATTTTCCAAAAAAATTGAAATTTTTTTATTTTAAAAATTCCAAACTTTGGTATCTTTTTAAAATTTTATCAAAATCAGTTTTTCTGTTTTGTTCCTCAAATTTGGTTTAAAAACATACAACTTTTCCTTTAGACACATTCTCGTAGAACAAAATTTTAAAAAGTTATCACAATTTTCCAAAAAATTGAAATTTACTTATTTTGAAAATTCCAAAGTTTGGTATCTTTTTAAATTTTTATGAAAATCTGTTTTTCTGTTTTGTTCCTTAAATTTGGTTCAAAAACCAGCAACTTTTCCTTCAAACAATTTTTTGTAGATCAAAATTCTAAAAAGTTATCACAATTTTCCAAAAAAAATGAAATTTATTTATTTTAAAAATTCCAAAGTTTGGTATCTTTTTAAATTTTTATAAGAAGCTGTTTTTCTGTTTTGTTCCTTATATTTGGTTCAAAATCCAGCAACTTTTCCTTTAGACACATTTTCGTAGAACAAAATTTTAAAAAGTTATCACACTTTTCCAAAAAAATTGAAACTTACTTATTTTAAAAATTCCAAAGTTTGGTATCTTTTTAAATTTTTATGAAAATCTGTTTTTCTGCACTTTTCCTTAAATTTAGTTAAAAAACCAGCAACTTTTCCATTGATCACTTTTTAGTAGAACAAAAATCAAAAAAGTTATCACAATTTTCCAAAAAATTGAAAATTATTGATTTTGAAAATTCGAAAGTTTGATATCTTTTGAAAATTTCCATCAAAATCTGTTTTTCTGTTTTTTTCCTTAAATTTGGTTTAAAAACAAACAACTTTTCCTTTAGACACATTTTCGTAGAACAAAATTTTAAAAAGTTATCACAATTTTCCAAAAAATTGAAATTTACTTATTTTGAAAATTCCAAAGTTTGGTATCTTTTTAAATTTTTATGAAAATCTGTTTTTCTGTTTTTTTCCTTAAATTTGGTTTAAAAACAAACAACTTTTCCTTTGAACACTTTTTTGTAGAACAAAATTCTAAAAAGTTATTACAATTTTCCAAAAAAAATTGAAATTTACTTATTATGAAATTTCCAAAGTTTGGTATCTTTTTAAATTTTTACGAAAATCTGTTTTTCTGTTTTTTGGTTCAAAAACAAACAACTTTTCCTTTAAACACTTTTTTGTAGAACAAAAATCAAAAAAGTTATCACACTTTTCCAAAAAAATTGAAATTTACTTATTTTAAAAATTCCAAAGTTTGGTATCTTTTTAAAATTTTATCAAAATCTGTTTTTCTGCACTTTTCCTTAAATTTGGTTAAAAAACCAGCAACTTTTCCTTGAAACACTTTTTTGTAGGACAAAATTCTAAAAAGTTATCACAATTTTCCAAAAAAATTGAAATTTACTTTTTTTGAAAATTCCAAAGTTTGGTATCTTTTTAAATTTCTATGAAAATCTGTTTTTCTGTTTTGTTCCTTAAATTTGGTTCAAAAACCAGCAACTTTTCCTTCAAACAATTTTTTGTAGATCAAAATTCTAAAAAGTTATCACAATTTTCCAAAAAAAATGAAATTTATTTATTTTAAAAATTCCAAAGTTTGGTATCTTTTTAAATTTTTATAAGAAGCTGTTTTTCTGTTTTGTTCCTTATATTTGGTTCAAAATCCAGCAACTTTTCCTTTAGACACATTTTCGTAGAACAAAATTTTAAAAAGTTATCACACTTTTCCAAAAAAATTGAAACTTACTTATTTTAAAAATTCCAAAGTTTGGTATCTTTTTAAATTTTTATGAAAATCTGTTTTTCTGCACTTTTCCTTAAATTTAGTTAAAAAACCAGCAACTTTTCCATTGATCACTTTTTAGTAGAACAAAAATCAAAAAAGTTATCACAATTTTCCAAAAAATTGAAAATTATTGATTTTGAAAATTCGAAAGTTTGATATCTTTTGAAAATTTCCATCAAAATCTGTTTTTCTGTTTTTTTCCTTAAATTTGGTTTAAAAACAAACAACTTTTCCTTTAGACACATTTTCGTAGAACAAAATTTTAAAAAGTTATCACAATTTTCCAAAAAATTGAAATTTACTTATTTTGAAAATTCCAAAGTTTGGTATCTTTTTAAATTTTTATGAAAATCTGTTTTTCTGTTTTTTTCCTTAAATTTGGTTTAAAAACAAACAACTTTTCCTTTGAACACTTTTTTGTAGAACAAAATTCTAAAAAGTTATCACAATTTTCCAAAAAAAATTGAAATTTATTTATTTTAAAAATTCCAAACTTTGGTATCTTTTTAAAATTTTATCAAAATCAGTTTTTCTGTTTTGTTCCTTAAATTTGGTTTAAAAATAAGCAACTTTTCTTTTAAACACTTTTTTGTATAACAAAATTATAAAAAGTTATCACACTTTTCCAAAAAAATTGAAATTTATTTATTTTGAAAATTCCAAAGTTTGGTATCTTTTTAAAATTTTATCAAAATCAGTTTTTCTGTTTTGTTCCTTAAATTTGGTTTAAAAATAAGCAACTTTTCCTTTAAACAATTTTTTGTAGAACAAAATTATAAAAAGTTATCACAATTTTCCAAAAAAATTGAAATTTACTTATTTTGAAAATTCCAAAGTTTGGTATCTTTTTAAATTTTTATGAAAATCTGTTTTTCTGTTTTTCTTTAAATTTGGTTTAAAAACAAACAACTTTTCCTTTAGACACATTTCCGTAGAACAAAATTCTAAAAAGTTATCACAATTTTCCAAAAAATTGAAATTTACTTATTTTGAAAATTCCAAAGTTTGGTATCTTTTTAAATTTTTACGAAAATCTGTTTTTCTGTTTTTTTCTTTAAATTTGGTTTAAAAACAAACAACTTTTCCTTTAGACACATTTCCGTAGAACAAAATTATAAAAAGTTATCACACTTTTCCAAAAAAATTGAAATTTACTTATTTTGAAAATTCCAAAGTTTGGTATCTTTATAAAATTTTATCAAAATTTGTTTTTCTGCATTTTTCCTTTATTTTAAGAGTTTATTATAATTTTTTTAAAATATTATACTTTAATAACTGTAAAGAAAACATGGATAATAATTACAGTTACAAGAGAAAATTTTTGTTGCAACACTGACTTTTTCGACTTTTTTTGTATTTTTAATCGACTTTAGCGACTTTTCTTGTGTCTTAATGTCGATCTGAAGCCTGTTGTTTTCATGACTTCTTTTTTTGTTAGTTTTCTATTTTCTTTAGTAATAATTTAATTTTAATTTGATTAATTTAATTCACTTAATTTAATTTTTTCTTGATAAATAATAAAATTTCTTTTTTCGCAGCTTATCAAGAGAGAACCAGGAGCCCTTGGACTAAGAATGTGGTCGCCCTTTAGTCGCCTCTATCTCCGTCATTTCAACGAACTCGAGCACGAGCTAAATGCTCGTCTAAGTCGCGCATACCGTCCAGCAAAAAAATACATGGATATATTCACCTCGCCATTAATAACGATAATCGCTCAAAATATTGTCTTCATAAGCGGTGGAATTTTCATAATAATGGTGGGTCTAACAATTTATGACGATGGCGTTGTAACGGTGGAGCATTTCGTAGCGACAATGACAGTATTTGGAACAATTGCCGCCGCCGGAAGGGCATTTTTACCCGATGAAAATTTAGTCTGGTGTCCCGAGACATTATTGACCGCAGTATTGGCGCACACACATTATCGTCCCGACAGTTGGAAGGATCGTGCCCACACGCAAGCGACACGCTCACAAGTTGCACAATTATTTCAATTTAAACTCGTGCATATTATTGAGGAGCTCATCTCGCCATTGTTAACGCCATTTATATTGTGTTTTCACATGAGACCAAGGGCATTGGATATTGTTGATTTTTATAGAAATTTTACAATTGAAGTGACTGGCGTTGGTGATGTTTGTAGCTTTGCCCAAATGGATGTGAGAAAGCATGGTAATCCAATGTGGCAGACTGTCGGTCAGAGTGTATTGGATGCACGAGTTACTGGCTATGACAATCACTATGGCACGGATCATGATAAACTTCATCCATTGTCGAATCAATATACGCAGGCGGAGGATGGAAAAACTGAATTGTCCCTGATTCATTTTACACTCACGAATCCTGAATGGAAGCCACCTAGTCATGCTGAAACTTTCGTCACTGCTCTCAAGGAGAGAGCACGCAGAGAGGCAGCTACAAATATTAATGAATTGAATCCTCTCTATATGAGTCTTAATAGCTTGTCTAGTCTCGGCCCAGGCGTAAGTTATTTCATTTTATTTCAATTCATTTTCTAAATACAATTCAGAACTACATAAAATCAGGGAACCTGGAAATCATGGAATTGGCAAATAATTTCATTTTCATTCCAAAAGTTCTTCTAGAATTCAAAATTATTTAAATTTTAAATACATAAACAGGGTTGCCACAGGTTTTTGTTTGCCTCGTAAACTATGAAATTACCACGAATTTTAATACAAAACCTTGAATTTTTTCTATTTCAGACAATAATTTCTTCTTAAATTACTTAATTTTACAAGAACTATCATAAAATTATGACTTATAAATTATTTCATGAATCATTTTTACAATTTTCATAAATACCAGATTGATAAAAAAATTTTAGTTAAAAATACTAAAAAAAAAAATTAAATTTTGGAAAAGTTACAAATAATTCCAGAAATTCAATTATTTTTAAAAGTATACTAAAATTTTTCGCAGAAATTCAATTATATTCAAAAATTAAAAAGAAATTCTGGTCATTTCAATTATATCTTTAAAAATAATAAAATTCTTCTCCAAAATTCAATTATGTTCAAAAATTTTTTAAAAACTCTCGTCAAAATTTCAATTATCTTTATAAATAATACAATTCCTTTTCGAAATTCAATTATTTTTAAAAACTTTAATAAAATTCTTGGCAAAATTTCACAGGAACTTCAATAATTTACAAAATTTTTAATAAATTTCTATTCGAAATAAATCAATTATTTTCATAAATAATAAAATTTTCACAGGAATTCAATTATTTTTAAAAACTTTATAAATATTTTAAAATAATTTTTGAACGATAATAGTTTTTCAATTTTGAAAAATTTCCAAACAATTAAAATTTGGTTAAATCTTTTAAGAATAATTGAATTTTTGAAAAGTATAAATAAAAATGATGACATTTTTGAAGAATTTTAATTATAAACAGGACCATGATTTCTCAAAAATTTTAATAAGTCCAAAAAGTAAATTTTCAATCTTAAAAACAGGATTAATGTACATATTTCCTGCGGGGTCCTTGGATGGATTCTAAAATTCAAAGAACGAAATTCGATTCAATTACAATAGTTAGAAAAAATTTGACAAAATGGAATTGTTTCTTCAATACAAAAGGAAGAGTTTCCTGTTATTCAAGAATTTGATTTGAATAGAAATTGGATATTGTCGAAATTCAATCTAATGGGAATTAAATAGAATTTTTACTAAACGAACTCTGGGAAAAAATTACGAAACAAAAATAGAAATGGAAATAGTTTTTAAAAATAATTAAAATTTTGTAAATAAAAATGTATGGAAATTAAGTTTGAAAAACTATATTCAAACATTTAAAAACAAAATAAATTCTTAAAAAATTTCCATTACAATTTTTTTAAAAATAAAATTTGAAAATATTTTAATTTATTGAATTCAAGAAAGTCAATTATTTTAAAAATATTTCAATATTAAATTTAAGAAATTCAATATTATTTTTAAAATATTTCAATATTCAAAATTCAATACTAAATTTCAGAAATTCAATTATTTTAAAAATATTTCAATATTGAATTTAAGAACAATTGAAAATAATTGATTTAGAGACAAATTTTTATTAAAAATTTTGAAAATGGAATTTTAAAATATTAAGATGTAGTCGAAATTTTTGGAAACAAATCTCAAAATTCTAGTTTTCAAAAACTTCCAATTGAAATTTTTTGAAATTCGTTAAATTTTTTTTTTAATAAACAAATTAATTTAAAAATTCTCGAATAATCAAAATTTTGGAAAATTGAATTGAAAACAATTGTATTTTAAGTGGATTTTTCTTTTTTATTTTTGAATAATTGAATTCTTAAAGAACTTTCTATAAATTATTAAAAATAAATGATTTAGAGAAGAATTTGCATTAAAAAGTTCAAGAAAATAATCGAATATTAAAAAGAATTGTTTGTAGAAATTTTTATTTAATTCATAAATATTTCGTATTTTCCAATAAAAAAAATTTTCCTCTTTTATCAATTTTCCTTTTTTTTTTAATTTCATGAATATTTCGTATTTTCTAATGAAATAAATTTTTCCTTTTGTTTCAGTACAATGACATTGTGACGAATATTATTCGGAGTGTGATGCCAAATCAATTGAGCGTTCCGAGTATGAGTAATGCAATGTCAAATGAAGCGGGCACATCATCATCGACGTCAATGGGTGGCGATGAGACGTGTAGTGCTCGATCTAATATTCCGCCGCGAACTTTTATGGGTCGTTTACATAAGGCTGAAGGACCTTTGCATTCCGATAAAGGATTGCTCTACAGTTTGCAGCAGGGATTATCAAATCAATCGCTCGGTGCTTCGGTATTTGGTTCCGGTCAGGAACTCGTCGCCGATTTAACAGTTCCAATTGAAATGACAGCCGCTGACATGAGTTTGTCTACGTTGTACCTGCACGAACTCCATCACAGACAAGTAATTTAACCAACAAGAATTTTCTTTCCTAAAATTAAACATAAAAAAATTAACTTTATGAATAATTTTTTTTTTAATTTAAATGAAATGATTTTAAATATTAAAGAAATCATTTTTAAATCGAAATGAATAGATTTCAAATATTAGAGAAATTATTTTTCATTCAAATTTAAAAAAAAATTCTTGCTAAAGTAATTAACTTTAGCAAGAATTTTTTTTTTTTTAATGAAATGATTTCAAGTATTAAAGAAATATTTTTTTCTACTTGAACGAATAACTTGAGTGATATTCATCGTTTATTAAAAAAAAGTCCATCTCTTCTCAATTTTTCTCGTAAAAATGTCACGTCTCTGTTAATTTTTTTTACCCTTTTTTCCAAAATTCTTTTTTCACAAATTTCATTTTATACTTGGGATTGAGTTAAATTTTTTTCTTGATTTAATTACGGTTTTTTCGTATAGTTCGACGACTATATAAACGAGAGGAAAAAAAATTCTCGAATTTAAACTTCGAGAGATGAGAGAGAGAGAAGTGAATAATGTTTGAATCTGGATATTCGAGATTAAATCTCTTTTTGTTGGTAAATTTCAGGTAAGGAGACGGGGTTATCATGAAGTGGCAACAAGAAGTATATGGCAACCAGGTCCAGTTCAGGAATTAGCAACGCTTCCCGAAGTGAAACAAGAACGTGCGCCATTACTTTTACATCAAGATTCATCGATAAGAAAATAGAGATTGACTTCATTTCTTCTTCTTTTTTTTTAAAAAAACACAAAAAAACTTTTGCGCAATTGAAAATAATAAAATATTTTTATCTACATTCAAAATATTTTCTATTAATTTTGCACCTTTGATTAATTTTTTTCTCTTCTTTGCATTTAAAAAAAAAAGTATTTTCTTTCGCACGAAGTCGAGAAAAAAGTATTTTTTTGTCAAGAAGTCAAAAAAAGTATTTTTTTTTCTCCAGAAGTTAAAAAAGTATTTTTTTTTGTCAAAAAGTAAAAATGTACAGTTTTTTCAAAAAATCTCCAAAATAATGAAATCAATTATTAAAAATAATTTATTAGAAAAATATTAATTAGAAATTCGAAAAATATTAATTTATTAATTAATCAATAATAATAATTAATAATTAAAATAATTAAATTAAAGTAATTAATAATTGGAAGCAATGAATCAATTCAAATCAGGAAAAATAATTCCCTTCTTTTGTTTCAATATTTTTCTACTTCAACTGTTTTTTTTCTGTTCGTTGAATTACGGAAGGTTAATTTTGCAAATAAATTTTGCAAAAAATTTTACAAAATAAGAAAAAAAAGCTTTCAATTATGGAAAATATTTCCGACTCGAGTAAAATTTATAATTTACGGTGCAATCGAAGTATAAGTGAAAAAATGTTAAAGGAAGATTTTGTCTATGACATTCGACGACCAATGGAGAGAAAATTGGTTGTAAGTGTTTTTTGTACATATAAATTGTAATCATTGTTCAATCGCCAATTCGTGCCATTTTTGCATAATATCATATAACTGTATAAATATTTATCATCTGTATAAAATATCATTTGTAAAAAAATTTTTTTTTCCTTGAATTCGTATTTATTATAAGTGTAAATAGAATTTTTGATCTTATATTAAAAAGCAAAGCCTTGAAAAAAAATGCTTCTTATAAAAAACAAAAAAATATTGTAATTCTTTTATCTTGCATTAAGTTTTTATGAATTAGAATCAATTAGAATAATTTTTAATTTATTTCTAGATACCAGAGCAACGAATTTTAAACTATGAGTGCAATATTTGTCGCGAACAGATCGCAACTCGTCATTCATTATCGACTCATGTAAAATTTCATTGTGAAAAATATTGTAAAATTTGTTTCTGGATTCTAAATGCAAACGAAACAATTGAACAACACATGAAGAAATTTCACGAAATTTTCTAAAACTCTGTTACCTATTTTTTTTCTTCTTTTTTTAATGAAAAAGAAAATAAGTTTTAGTTTGTAAAATAACTAATAATTAATAATTGCGTGTGTAGATTAGAAATTTTGTTAAAGAAAATGTTTTTACAATAATAAAACTGGACATACTGCCGAAAAATAATTCTTTTACTGAATATTTCGTTCATCAATACAAAAAAAATACTATTGAATATTTCTTTTACTAGTAAGAAAAAAAATATTGGATATTTTTCGTACGAAAAAAAAATTATTCAAGTTTTCGTTTATTAAGAAGAAAAAAAATTATTCGTTTAACAAAAAAAAAATATCGAATATTTCGTTTATCGATACGAAAAAAATATTATTGAATATTTCGATTATCAATACAAAAAGAATATTTTTCGTAGGAAAAAAATTATTATTGAATATTTCGTTTACCAATTATTAATAATAGAGAAATTATATAATATTTTTTTTTCTCTAATTAAAGAAGAGAAGCGGGAAAAAATCCAATAAAACTCATTTTTTTTGCGTTCAGTTTTCATGCATTACGCAACTTTATTTTTTTTCCTCTGTTTTATGGTAAAAGCTGGAAAAGCCTTACAATACAAGTATATGAAGTAAACATTGGCGGAAAATTGCTTTTTACGTAATATTTGAGGGGGGCAGATATTACGTATTATTCATATACTGCGTTTACAGAGAGCTACAAGATTTTTTTTCGCCAAGAGTTTATTAAAAAATACATTTTCATATAACTCGGGCAATTTTCATTTTAGATTGACATACAGAGAGGGGATTAAAATTAAAAATTGTGAATTAAAAATTAAAATTAAGAATTAACATAACTGAAGATAAAAATTTAGAATTGAAAACTAAAATTAAAAAATTAGAATTGAAAAGTAAAAAATCAAAAATCAAAATTGAAAACTAAAAATTAAAATTTAGAATTAAAAAATGAAAAATAAAATTCAAAATTAAGGAAAAAAAACTAAGAAATTAAAAAATGAAATAATAATTTTAAATTGAAGACAAAATTTTTTTAAAAATAAAATTAAAATATAAAATTACAAACAATTGAAAAATAAAAAAAAATTCAAAATTATAAAAAAAAAATTAAAAAATAAAACTCAAAATTGAAGAATAAAAATTAAGGAATTAAAAGATAACATTAAAAGTTAAAAACTTGGAAATTACATCAAAAATGAAAAATAAAATTCAAATGAAAATTAGAAATTAAAAATTACAAGTAATTTTTAATTACAAATTAAATTAAATTTTGATTTTGTTACGTATTTTTTATATATGTAGTAAAAACATGTAAATTTATTTACAGTTAAAAGGAAAAAACTTATTGTGTAAAAAATTTTTATTTAAAAAAAGAATATTCTCACAAAATAGACAACAAAATTAATTATTTTCATTTGTTGTACAAATTTCGGGTAGCAAAATTTTATTCATTAATTTTGGTGCAACTTCTTGAATGACAGTCCGCACAAGTTCGGAATAATTTATAAAATGAAATTCATGTCCTCTTAGATGTAAATCATCAGATAATAATTTCATATTCTGAAACAATAAAAAGCAAATAAATAAATAATTAATTTTTTTTAATTTATTCTAATTTTGAGTATATAAAATAATTTAATTTTTGCATAATAAATAAATTATATTGAAAATTAAAAAACTAATTAAAAAATTTTTGATAAACTTCTTTATAAAAATTCAATTATTTACAAAAAGGATTTTAAAAAAAAAATTGCCAAAAATTCAATTATAAAATTTTTTTAGAAAGTAATTGAATTCTTTCAAAGAATTTCATAATTTGTGAAAAATAATTGAATTCTTTCGAAGAATTTTATAATTTGTGAAAAATAATTGAATTCTTTCGAAGAATTTTATAATTTGTGAAAAATAATTGAATTCTTTCGAAGAATTTTATAATTTGTGAAAAATAATTGAATTCTTTCGAAGAATTTTATATATTTTTGAAAAATAATTTAATTCTTGCGAAGAATTTTATCAAAATTTTTCAAAATAATTGAATGTTGTTGTAGAAAAGGATTGTTTTTTAAAACGTTTTAAAAATAATTGGATTCGTTTGACAAGAATTTTATCAAACTTTTTCGAAATAATTGAATTCTAACAAAAAATTTTATTGCTCATAAAAATAATTGAATTCTAACAAAAAATTGTATTGCTCATAAAAATAATTGAATTCTAAAAAAGAATTTTATTGTTTATAAAAATAATTGAATTCTAAAAAAGAATTTTATTGTTTATAAAAATAATTGAATTCTCGCGGAGAATTTTAATTTTTGAAAATAATTAAAGAGAGAAAAATTTTTTTCGAAAGTCGTTTTAAAAATTATTGAATTGTTTTAGAAAAGGAAAATTTTTAAAAATCGTTTTGAAAATAATAGAATTTTTGGCAAGATTTCTATTATAAAATTTTTCAAAATAAATGAATTTTTGCCACGAAAATTACTATTTATAAAAATAATTCAATTCTCGCAGAGAATTTTATTTTGATTTTTTAAAAATAATTGAATTTTTTTATAGAAGTATTTTTTGAATATCGTTTTGAAAATAATTGAATTGTATTAGAAAAGGAAATTTTGAAAAATCGGTTTGATAATAATTGAATTCTTGGCAAGATTTTTATTGAAATTTTTGAAAATAATTCAATTGTCTTAGAAAGAAGAATTTTTTGAAAAATCGTTTTGAAAATAATTGAATTTTTGGCAAGATTTTTTTAAAAATTTTTCAAAATAAATGGATTCTTGCCACGAAAATTATTATTTATGAAAATAATCCAATTCTCGCAGAGAATTTTATTTTGATTTTTTAAAAATCAAAAGTCAAAATTTGTTAAAAATAATATTTAATTCGTTGGAAGAATTTGATTACTATTTGTGGAAAATAATTGAATTCTTGCGAAAAATTCTAACAAAATTTTTCAAAATAATTGAATTGTTTTAGAAAAAATTTTTTGTTTAAAATCGTATTGAAAATAATTGAATTCTTATAGAACAATTTTATTAAAATTTTCGAAATTATTTGAAATAATAAAAATAGTTGAAAATAAATAAATTATTAATAAAAATAACTAATTATTCAATAAGTAATTTTTTTTTTTAATTTTGAATTTAAAATTATTGAAAAATTATGTAAAATTTATATTTGAAAAGAAAATTTAATAATTTGCATAATAATAATAATGAAAAATAAATAATAATATAAAATACAAGTAAATGAATATATTTATTTATAATAATTTTTATTTTATAAATAAATATATTTACTTATGAGAATAGATAAATATATTTATTTTTATTATTATTTTGAAATTTTCCGAAAAATTATCATTTTTGCATATGAAGCAATATAGAAACAAAAATGTGCTGTATATACAGTAAAATTTAAAGATTTGACCAAAATAGATAAATATATAAAACTATTTTGAATATGAAGGTATAGTATATATTTCGTACGTGATTTTTTTTTATTACTTTGACCTAGAATATGCGACATACCATGACAACGGTAACATCAATCCTCCTTAAGTTTTTGCAATCAAATATAACTGTACAGGGATTTTCTCCGGATAACATTGTTATCTTACTTCGTAAATTTTCTGAAGCCGGAAACGAGACTGTCTCTTCCGGTAAGACATAAACTATTCTGTTGCCATTATCCTAGGGAAAATTTTCAAATTAGACATTAATATTCTTTTCTTAACTCTTATAGTAATATCTATAACTATCTAGAAATAATTAAATTAATTTAAATTTTTCAAAAAAAAAAAAAAATTACAAACATTTTTCGTTTATTCAATTGAAATCTTTTTTCTTGAATTTTCAAACATTTTTGAGCAATTCCTCTAAAATTGTATTAAAAATAATTGAAATCCTGTCATGAATTTTATTATTTATTAAATTTCTTGAGAAGAATTTTATTATTTATGAAAATAATTGAATTCTTGTTTAGAATTTAACAAAAATTCTTTTAAAAACTTAATTGAATTCCTGTGGAAATTTTATTATTTATGAAAATAATTAAATTTTGCAAAAAATTTGATTAAAATGCCTCAAAATAATTGAATTTTCGGGAATAATTTTGTTATTTATCTTTAATAATTGAATCCTTTCGAAGAATTATTTATGTAAATAATTGAATTCTTGGAAAGAATCTTATTAAAATCTAAAAGAATAATTGAATTATTACCAAAAAAATTAATTAAAATACCTAGTATTTAAAATAATTGATTTCTTTCGAAACATTTTATTAAAATATTTGAAAATAATTGAATTCCTGTGAAAAATTTTAATATTTTTGTAATTAATTGAATTCTTTCAAAGAATTGTTAAAAAAACATCTTTTTAAATAATTAAGTTTTTCGAGGAATTTGCAATTAATTAATTAATTAATTCTTAAAAATAATTACATTTTTTGAGCAATTCCTCTAAAAATTGTATTAAAAATAATTGAAATCTTGCGATGAATTTTATTATTTATGAATATATAATTGAATAGTTGCTAAGAATTTTATTAAAATTTTCAAAAATAATAAATTGAATTCGTTGAGAAGAATTTTATTATTTATGAAAATAATCGAATTGCAAAAAATTTTATTAAAAACATTTAAAAAGAATTGAATTTCTGTAAAAAAAATTTGTTATTTTTATAAAATAATTGAATTCTTCATGAGAATTTTATAAACATTGTTTTAAATAATTACTTTTTTCGAAATATATAATAAATATTATGAAAATTTTATTTTAAATAATTGAATTCTTGTAAAAAAACTTTATTTGTGAAAATAATTGAATTCTTCGATGAGTTTTATTATTTATGAAAATAATTGTATTCTTGCTTAGAATTTTATCAAAAATTTTTTTTAAAAAATTGAATTTCCATGAAAAATGTTATTATTAGTGAAAGTAATTGAATTATTGTGAAGAATTGTATAAAAATTTTGTTAAATAAAATTAATTTTTTTGAAATTATTTTGAAAATACTATTCTAGAGCAATTGAATTTCAGTGAAAATGTTATCATTTATGAAAATAATTGAATTTCGAATGAATTTTATCAATTCTTTTTCTAAATAATTGAATTCTTTTGCGATATTTTATAAAAATACTAGATATTGAAAATAATTGAATATTTTTTGAAAATAATTGAATCATTTTAAAGAATTCGATTATAATTTTTGAGAATAAATTTTTGATTTCTAGTATTAGGGAATTTAAAATAGTGGAAATTATAAAAAAGAACAGAAATAGTATAGCTTTTAGTTGATGAGTGCAAAGCCTGTAATTGAGATTTTATATCAACTAACATTTGACGTTTGAATTGAAATTGATGGTTTTGCCGTGAAATATAATAAAATCATTAAATTCACTGTCACTCCAGTAAGAATTCCAATTTCCAATCCGAAAATAATCGAAGACAATAGAGTCGTTGCCATTATTGCAAAATCAGTTTCTGTAAAAAAAAATTACAAACACGTGATTAAAAAAATAATTTTTTATTATTTTATTTTTATTATTTAATTTTTTTATTTATTTTTTTTTTAATTAATATTTTCTGTATAATTTATTTTGTATAATTCATTAACTCACTTTTGGCACGCCACAATATTCTATAGGTATTGAAATCCAACATGTAGAACATCGCGCATATAATTACACCAGCAAGAGTTGCTTTTGGAATAAAGCGAAATGTCGACGTTAAAAGTCCAGCGGCCAAGAGAACAAGAGCTCCTGAAAAAAAATATTCATTTTAATTAAAACATAATTAATGCTTCTTGTTCAAAAATGTTAACAATCAGTTTTAAATTTTTTTCTCCCTCTCCTTTTCTTTTCTTCTAATTATTATTTTTTTTTTTTCATCAAACATGTTTTTCACACATCTTTTCGTGGAGAATCTGCATTTGTTAAAATTTCTTCCCTCTGTGATGTATATATAATAAAAAATATAAAGACAACCACAATTCTACGTCCTACCAAGCAAATAAAATATTTAAAACAGAAGTTAAAATTCAAAACCAAAAAGAATTGTCACATTTCCGTATTTTTTTTTTCTCATTCAAAAAAAAAAAAAAAAAAAAATTTTCAATAAAATTTCAAAGTGCGGTAAAAAATATACCCTTTTTTTCATTGAGAAAATTTTTTCCTACAAAAAAAGAAATGATTGTACAGGAAATAAATTTAAATAATTTAATTTAACTTAAATTTGTTTTTAAATAATAAAAAAATAAATGAAAAATATTTCATTTCCTACACAATCGTTTCTTTTTTTTTTGTCACGAAAATTTTTTTTTCCTCAATTCTCGCAATAGACGAGAAAGAAATGAAAAAACGAGATTTTTTTTACTGCACTTTAAATTTTTATTGAAAGTTATGTATTTGTTCAATTTTTGTTTTCTTTTTCGGTTTTTTTTTTTTTTTTTTTTTTTTTTTTTGAATGAGAAAAAAAGATACGAAGAGTAACAATTTTTTTTTGTGTTTTCGAATTTTTGTTTTTCTTTTTTTCGTAATAGAATATTCTGTTCAATAGGAGAAATCATGACAACTCGTGAATGTGAAACAATATATTTTCACTAAAATGTTTTTCCAAAGCTTGACACTCTTTTCATATAGAGAATATAAAACAGAGATATATATACAGAATAAAGAATAGAAAAGAATAAGACATTTAAAACGAGTGACATGGAAAATGGAGCAAACAGAGAAAACAGATCACTGAGATTTAATTTTTATTTTTTTTTTTGAATAGGCAACAATGTTCTTTTTTTCTTTTTTTCAATAATTGTAGTGAAAAAAAATTATTTGATTCAAAATAATCGATTAATTGACAATTTACTATGAAAATTAATATTTCTTTTTGTCGAACAATTTTTATTTTAATTAATATCTTTTTTTTATTTATTATTTTATTATTTTATTTATTATTTTGTTTATTATTTTATTTATTATTTTGTTTATTATTTTATTTATTATTTTATTATTTACTGTATTATTATTTACTATTTTCTTTTTTAACGCAGTCTTTTTTTATCGAAATCGAATATAATTTTTTCGTTTTGAAATATAATTTGAACTAATTTCAAAACAAAAAAAAAAAAAAAAAATTATAAAAAAAAAAATAATTCCATGTTGAGTTTCATGTTAAGAAAAAAAAATTATTTATTTTTTTTTTATTTTTTTTTTTTTTGTGTCTTTTTGATACTTTCTCCTAATTTTCAATTCTGAATTAATTTTTAGTTAAATTGAATAAATTTTCATTAATAAAATAATTTTTATTTCAATACAAAATTTGTATTCTTCAGAGCAAATAATTTTTTTTCGAAATTTGTATTCAAAAGAAATAATTTTTATTGAAATCAAATTAATTTTATACTTTGAAATAATTTTCAACAATATTTTCTATATTTACAGAAAATATTAAAAATTCTGAACATTTCTTTGGAGTGTAAAAAAAAAAATAAGATCTCACTAAAATTACAAATCCAAACAAAATAACATCGTAATATATTTCTTTGGAGTGTTTAATATTATTTTGGAAAATGAAATATTCCTTTAGATATTTGAATATTTTTTTGGTTCATTTAATATTTTTTTTAAGTATTTAATATAATATGTAAATTAATATTCCCTTGACAATTTAATATTCCCCTGAAAACTTAATATTTCTTTGAAATATTTAATAATTCCTTCAAATGTTTAAAATTCCCTTTGAAAACTTAATATTTCTTTTGAATATTTAATATTTTTGTGTGAAAATACTTAAAATTTAATTTGAATATTTAATATTTCCTTTAAGTATACTTAATATTTCTTTTGAATTAATTAATATCCCTTTGGAATAATAAACTTTTCACACAGAAAATTCGATATTCGTTTAGATTAAGAATTTCTGAATTATAATTGAAATAAAAAGATTTAAAATATTCTTGTGGAATATTTTTGCAAATAAACATTTTTATTGAATATTTCAATGTTTTGTTGAAACTAAAAAATATTACTAGTAAAAAATATTAAAAATATTAAATAATATGGAAAAATATAAAAAAAATAATAAAATATAAAAAAGGATAACAAAAATCCCGAATATTTTGTGATTTGAATTGAAATTTTAATAAAATGAAAAAAATACAAAAATAATAAAATATTTAAAAAAAGTAATAAAAATCTCGAATAATTTATGATTTGATTTTGCAATTGAAAATTTTGATAAAATGAAAAAATACTAATACAGTTTTGTGATTCGAATTTGGAATTAAAATTCTAATAATAGGAAAAAAATACAAAAATAAATGAAGAATAAAATATTTTTTAAAAAATAATAAAAATTCCGAACTTCTTGTGATTTAAATTTTAAATCTTAATTTTTCCAGATTTAATAAATGCTTCAATTAAAAAAAAAGAAATGAAAAAAACAGAAAATCCACGAGAGCAGATAATTCCTAATTTCACTTTAAAAATTCATCTAATGGACTATCGGTATATAATCACGTGTTCAAATACCAGCCTTCGGATTGAACAAATACTAAAGACGGAATAAATGCACTAATATCATTTTCAGTCCCGCGCAATGGATCAGCAAACAGAAAGCAATTAAATTTAAATTCAATTCCTTATTTTTTTATTAATAAGATTATTATTAATTATTAATTATTAATAATTTAATAATAATATTTAATTTACGGTTTCGTCCAGTAAATTTTTTTAAATAAATAAATAAATATAAAAATAATATAATAATTTAATAATATTTAATTTACGGTTTCATGCAGTAAATTTTTTAAAATAAATAAATATCAAAATAATATAATAATTTTTGTATTAATTAAATAATTATAATTAATTATTATTATTATCAATTATATTCTGAATTAATTAATATTAAAATTGCTATTAATTTGGCAAATTTCTGTTTTCAAAAAAGACGCAAAAATAGCGGCAAAAAAAAAATGTAGAAAATTATTAAAAGTATAATTTTTACAAATTTTCTTTCCCTCTATTTGTAAAACCACGAGGTACAACATATGCGTCACTCGCACGTTGAATATATTTCTCTTTTATATATTTTTTCTTTGTTTTTTTTTTTTTTTGCACTCAACGTGTATTATTATATTCACTCTTGAAAATATTTATCTCAAAGAATAAAAAAATATTTATTTTTCTCAGTAGCTTTATAATAAAAAAAAAAATTCTTCTACATTATGTGAATAATAAATAAAAAATAAATTTTACGGAAAATTTGATAGTTTTCAACGTTTTCGTTTCTCTTTTTTTTTTATTTTTTTTTTGCAATTTTCCTCTCTGTTGTCTGCGACATCTAATGAACCATATAGGATTCAAGACGACGTGATCTCTCGAAATTATCTCGCGCGCGTGTGTGTGTGTGTGTCCCTTTTCTATCCGTATGCTGAACGTTTTCTTTTTCGAAAATCGACTGACCTTTAGCGTTTGAAATCGAAATTTACCGACAAAATTGGAAAATTCAGAAAATTTTTTTTAAAAATTTAAAAAATGTACAAAAAAAGTGCAAAAGAAAAATGAAAATAAAAATTTTATTTTGAAAATAAGCTTCGAAAAAAATTATTTTTTGAAAATAAAGATAAATTTTTTTTGTTATTTTTCCAGATGGGAAAAATTTCTATATTATTTATTTAAATTGCAATAAGCAAAAGGTAATAAATAATAAACAATTAATTAAAATCTATTAAAATAATATAGATTCAAATAAATGAATAAATTTTGCGTCAAATTTTGGGAAAAAGGAATAAAAAAAAAATTAAAAGAGGAGAGAAAGAGAAAATTTGAGAAATTAATTTATTATGAACCTTATCCAAAAAGGGAAATAAATTTTCCATGTAAAAATAAAATTTCTATTTTGAAGAAAAGTTTCAAAAAAAAATTTTTTTAAAAAATGATTTTATAAAAATGATTTTATAAAAATGTTTTTATAAAAAATGTTTTTGTAAAAAATTTTTTTGCTAAAAGAAAATTTTAAGAAACAGAAAAAGCAAAGAAAAAATTTAATTATTTTCGAAAAAATTTCATGAAAGAATTCAATTTTTTAAAATTCGTTACAAAAATTCAATTACTTTCAAAAAATTTCAAACAAGAATTTAATTTTTTCTTATCTTTATATAAAAAATTTCAATGGAATTCAATTCTTTTCTAAAATTTTAATAAATTCTTCAAGAAAATTCAATTATATTTATAAATAATAAAATTCTTTGCAAAAATTCAATTTTATTTCCTTTTAATTTTTAATAATATTTTTCGAGAAAATTCAATTATTTTCTAAAATTTGAATAAATTCTTTAAATCAATTCAATTATATTTATAAATAATAAAAATCTTTGCAAACATTCAATTATTTTCAACAAAATTTCACAAGAAAATTCAATTTTTTTTTAAATTCGTTACAAAAAATTAATTATTTTCAAAAAAAAATTTCATGAAAGAATTGAATTATTTTCTAAAATATTGTAATAAATCCTTCGAAACAATTCTATTATATTTAAAAATAGTAAAATTTTTTGCGAAAATTTAATTATTTTCACAAAAAATTCATGAAAGAATTAAATTTTTTAAAATTCGTTACAAAAATTCAATTATTTTTGAGAAAATTTCATGAAAGAATAAAAAGAAATTAAATTATAAATAAAAATAAAAAAAATTAAATAAATAAAAATAAAAAAAAAAAATAATAGATAAAATAAAATAAATAATAATAATATTTATAATATTAATAAATTTTGATTTGCAAATGAAAAAAAAAATAATTTTTTCTCTGCTTAAATTGAAAAAAATTGATTATTTTATCTAATTTATTTTTAATTTACTATTTATTATCATAATAAATTTTCCAATGAAAATAAATTAAAATCCGCATTGAAACAATAAAATTTTTGCGTTACATTTCTCAGAAGAAGAAGAAGAAGAAGAAAAAAAAGGTGGAAAAAAATTTAGAAAGATTAGAGAAGAGAGAAAGAGAAGATTTGAGAAGTTAATTTATTATGAAACTTATCCAAAAGAGGAATAAATTACCTGTGAAAATTCCCCCAAGAGGTGATTTTACTCCCGATGCGTGATTTACGGCTGTTCTAGTAAAGGAACCTGTTACCGGCATTGAGCGCACAAAAGATCCCATAATGTTACAAATACCAAGCGCTAACATTTCTTGCGTGACATCCAAGGATCTCCCCTTAGCTACAGTTATAGTGAAGATGTAATTTTTATAATGGACCACAAGCAAAAAAAAAAAATAATTCTTTTATAACGATTTATTTACAAATATTTTTCACAATTAAAAAATTATTGTCGAGAAATTATTTACTAGGTGTGCGGAAATTTAATTAACTTCCCTAAATTATGTATTTTTTTGTATAAATCAGAAAGAAAATAAATTTGATAAAAAAATGAAATTTGTTTCTCTATTTTTTAAGTATTTTATTTTTTTTTTTTTTTGAAAAAAGAAAATAATTAAAATATAAGTTATTATTTTTTTCACAATCACTCAATTATTCATTTTAACAAAAAAAACGATAAAATAATATTTTTATAAAAGAGAAAAAATAATAAATTTGTAAAGAAATTTTATTTATGGAGAGTTAAATTTTTTTTTTCTAAATAGAAGCAAATAAAATCAAGAATGAAGAAAGAAGAAAAAAAAAGTTGAATAGAAATATCTAATATATTGATAAAAAAAAAATACAATTTTAGTAAATAATTAAAATTTAAAATAATAAAATAGTAAAAGGATAAAAAAATGAAAAGTAAAATTATAAAATAGAAAAATAGTAAAAAAAAGTAATAAAAAGTAAAAAGGAAAATGGAAAATAATAAAAAAACAAAAAGTAAAATAATTAAAAAATGAAAAATAAAAAGAATAATAAAAATAATAGAAAAGTGTAGAAAATATACAAATGCAAAAATTTAATAACATTCAAAAAAATTTCATGAAAGAATTCAATTTTTTAAAATTCGTTACTAAAATTCAATTACTTTAAAAAAATTTCATGAAAGAATTTAATTTTCTCTTATCTTTATAAAAAATTTCAATAGAATTCAATTATATTTATAAATAAAAAAATTCTTTGCAAAAATTAAATTTTTTAAAAATTTTCAATAGGTAATATTTTTCGAGAAAATTCAATTATTTTCTAAAATTCTAATAAATCCTTTGAATCAATTCAAGTATATTTATAAATAATAAATTCCTTTTCAAAAATTCAATTATTTTCAAAAAAAGATTTACGACAGAATTCAATTTTTTGTTAATTGGTTATAAAATAATTCAAACAGAATTCGCAATTATTTTTTAAAAATTTTAATAAATCCTTTTGAATCAATTCAATTATATTTATAAATAATAAAAATTCAATTATTTTCAAAAAAAGATTTACGACAGAATTCAATTTTTTGTTAATTGGTTATAAAATAATTCAAACAGAATTCAATTATTTTTTTAAAATTTTAATAAATCCTTTGAATCAATTCAATTATATTTATAAATAATAAAAATTCCTTTCCAAAAATTCAATTATTTACAAAAAAATTTTACGAAATAAAAATAATTCAATTTTTCTCAATTTGTTATAAAATAATTCAACAGAATTCAATTATTTTCTAAAAGTTTAATAAAATTTATTATGTAATTAAATATTTTTTTTCAATTATTAACAAACATGATTTTTTTTTAAAAACTTAAAAGAAATTTTTCATAACATTCAATTAATTTCAAAATTTTTAATTAAAAATATTAAAAAAACTCCATTATTTAAAAAAAAAATGGAAATAAATTATTCAAAATAATTTAATTAAGATTTTCAAAAATTTTCGTTAAAATTCTTTACAAAAATTCAATGATTTTCAATATATTAATTTTAAAATCGAAAAAAATATTAAAAACGAAAAATTATTTAAAAATTTAGGAAACAAAGAAGCAAAGGCAAACAATAACTTATTTCAAACTGCGAACAGATTACCGGAATACAACGATTATTAATTTCTTATTTTTCTATTTTTTATTTTCTATTTCTAGAAATAGAATTCTTTTTTATTTTCTTTCTTTTCTATTTTTCGTTTCTTGTTTATTTTTTTATTTTTGAATTCTTCCTATTTTCTTAGCTTGTCTCGCGAATAAATAAATAATTAAGTAAACTAATAAAACTTATATTTAAAAATAAAATAAAAATACTCACAAAAAATTTTCGAGATGGCGATATGTTCAATTGTCGAGATAATGGGAACAGTAAATAAAGTTGTGCCCATTATTTTTGTCATTTGGTAAAAATTAATTGTACCATTTTTCGTTGAAAACGGTGGAAATGAAAATGGCGGTAGTCCCTGTGTCATTGTACCTGAAAAGAAAATTTTATTTTCAATACAATTTGCTTTAAAAAACTAAAATATTTTTTATTAAATTGTAATTAAATTAATAATTTTTCATTTTTAATGAAATTAATTTAATTTTTAATTTTAAAAATGAATTGAAAATCAAATTTAATTAATTTAATTTTTATCTTGACTCAAAAATAATTTAAATTAAATTAAATTAAATTAAATAAAAATAAAAATAAAAATAAAAATAAAAATAAAAATAAAAATAAAAATTATAATAATAATAATAATAATAATAATAATAATAATAATAATAATAATAATAATAATAATAATTAATAAATTAAAATTTAAATTTAAATTAAATAAATTTAATTTTTAACTTGAACCTGAAACTTAATTAAAAATTAAATGAATTTAATTTTTAACTTGACTTAAAAATTAATGAAAAATTAAATAAAATTAAATATTTAATTTAAATTTAATTTTCAATTTAAAAGAAAAATTATTTAAAAGAAAACACTACCTGTTAGTTTAAACGGTTCCGAATTATTAATAGCGTAAAATATAAAGGCCAATAATGCACCACCAGTGACGACTATTGCATTACGACTAATTACAATTGTCCACGATAATTTTTCGTACCATAAACCCGCTCTACGACCGGGAATATTCTCCAAAATAAAAGGAAAAATTAATTATTCTTCAAATTATTGTGTTGAAAATTATTGAAAATTATATTCAAAATAATAAAAATGATAATAATGATAAAAATAATTTATTCATTTACTATTTACTACTTAAACAAAAAAAAATAAAAATAGATACAAAAAAGAAATAAATATGTAAATAATTATAATAACAACAATAATTAGAGTGATAGTAATAATTAAAAGAATAATAAAAATAATAATAAAAAAATAATTAAAAAAATAATAAAAAAAATAAAGATAATAAAGATAATAATATTAATAATAATAAAAAAATAATAAAAAAAATAAAGATAATAAAAATAATAATATTAATAATAATAAAAAAATAATAAAAAAAATAAAGATAATAAAGATAATAATATTAATAATAATAAAAATATTGAAAGAAGAAGAAAATAATAATAGTAACAATGACAAAAGAAGAGTGATAATAAAAAACAATAAAAATACACTACTCTTTGAATTGGAAGAAAAAATGTTTTCGTCTTTTTTTTCCCTTTGTATATTCTATATTGAAAAATCGATGACAATCGAATATTGAAACGATATACATACCTTCATGAGCACTAAAAGTGCAATGGTGCTAATGCCAAGGACCGTATCCCACAATCTATATTCGGAAAAATTGAGAAAAGAGAAATTCCCGGAAATTCCCACAAGTGGTTTCAATTGTGAAGAAGCTATGCTAATAGCGGCTGCCGCTGTAAAACCCGTGATAACCGGAAATGATATGAAATCCAGTAAAAAGCCTGCGGAAATAGAAAGGAAAAATAATATTAATTACATAAATGGGTTAAATTGTTATTATGATAAATATGATTAAAAAGAAAAACAAAATTGGAAATCATTATTATAGGTATTATAATTATTATTATTATATTATTATTATTTTTATTATTATTATAGTTATTATTATAGGTATTTATTTTTATATATTTGAAGCGAAAAAAAATATCGCGTCTGACTGTAAATTGACTGTTACTACTTGCAATAATATTTGATTAGTAATTTTTCCTCTAAAAAAAATTTAACAATTAATTTAGGAAAAAGTTCTATTAATTTTTAATTAACTTTATCGAATTCTAAATAAAATTCGGAATAAAATTTTTAGTAGGACTAAAATTGACCTCTCCTATTTTTTGTCTGACTAAACTTAACCTCTACTACTGATTGTCCGACTATAGTTAATTTCTACTACTATTTTCGTCTGGCTATAAATTGACCTCTACTACTTTCTTCGTCTGACTATAATTGATCTCTACTAATTTTCCGTCTGACTACAATTGACATTTACTCCTTTTTTCGTCTGATTATAATTTACCTTCACCACTTATTCGGTTTGGCGAAAATTGACTTTTACTTTTTTTCTTGGTCTGACTAAAATTGACCACCACTACTTTCTGTCTGACTAAAATTGGCCTTTTCTATTTTTTTGTCTGACTAAAATTGACCTGTACTACTTTTTTCGTCCAACACTTTCCAGACTTCGCACTCGATAATTAATTTTTTTAAAGTAGCAAAAAGTATCCTTCAAAAACTAAAAAAAAAAAAAAATAGTAAAATACTGACAAAAATTGCATTCTATATTTTATTTTCCTCATCTTGTGACGTCCCAAGGTACTCAAACCCAATAGAATTTCTTATTATTATCACATATTAACATTTTGCCTGAATTTATAGATATATTTTAATCATTATAAAATTGAGTATCGGGATCAGAGAGACATTTTACTTAGAATTCTTCTAGATTATGCGTTCTTCTAAATAAATTATTAACTCATATTCTTTAATTTTTATGTTTATATCTATCGTCGAAATAATAATATAATGCATAGTTGTAATAAGCGATACTTATATGTACTTATATAGTTAAATTAGTTTTTCTCTTGTTATATTAGGTATTGTAGTTATAAAATTTGCTTCTTTCTCATCGTCTTAAACATTCTTAAAATAACAAGGATTTGCGTAGGAAAATATTATTTTGTCTTAAATTTAAACACTTTATGTAGAAAGCCTTAAGCTGTTTTTGTCAATTTTATAACAGCTTATGCAAAAGATAGTTCGGGTTGCCTAGAAGGGGATCATTGTAAATAGATCTATACATACTGGACAAAAAGACAACTGCTCTAAAGAGATAATCGTTCGAGGATTTCTAAAGGACAAAATTACATCGTCTCCACCTTCCTGCCTAAGGCCCAATAAAATGTAATTTTGGGATCAATTGCCACTGGATCAGGACGGACGCGCAAAGACCTAAGAAAACAACCAGGACCATTATCGTTTCCATAAAATCAGCTTCTTTCTTAATGAGCCTCACCAACACAGGCCCAAATTTTGTCTATCCCCACCATCACTGCGTAGGGGTGGAATTTTTACCCAAATTAAGAAGAAGGGACCCAATAGGAATACTTGGATCAGCCCATTTTCCTCATCAACGGAAAGGGCAGTTTTTCCAAATTCAGACTTGCTAAAAATGAAAGGATCAGTTTTTGCAAAGTCTTCTTCCCGGTTGTACCTTTGGTCGCGCCCGAGTTGGAGCTGGAGAGTTTGGCTGTCCAGGAACACCTTCGAGGAACCAGTTTTACTTTTGTTCTCTCAAAGAAACCGAGTTCGAGTTCTCTCTTGGAGCAGAAGTCTAGGCGTTTAGTTACCCTATAAAAATCTAGAGAAATTTTCCCCTTTGGGTCACCTTCGGGCTGTCGATTGCTGGGATATTTGGTAAAATAAATAAATTGTATACTGATATATTTCTCCTTTAAAATCTTGTGTTCTTATTTAAATTTCTTTCTAACTTATTTCATGTAGAATTAATTTTTCTATTTGTTTATTCACGTTTTTCTTTTCTATTAAATATTAAATTCCATTCTATAAATTAATTAAATTAGATTGTTGAAGTAAAAGAAGAATTAGGTGAGACCTCTCTTAAATCAGGATTAATCCCACTTTCCTTTACTTACCGCTCGGTAAAGGAAATTTATAAATTTCTAATTGTTTATTTGACAGTTGATTCTATTCATTAAATTTTAAATAGGAAAAATTGTCCATTACGTAACAATCTTTTCACTAATATTTCCTTTTTTCTTATTCTGCTAATAAATTGAATTCCTTCAACAAATTTTATTATTCATGAATAAAATTTTATAAAAATTTTTAAATAATTAATTTCTTTCGACTAATTTTATGCAAATTCTAATTTAAATAATTGACATCTTGAAAAATTTTTATTATTCATAAAAAGAATTGAATTCTTAAGAAGATTTTTACAACAAATTTTTTTAATAATTGAATTCTAAAAAAAATATTGAAATTTTATGAAAATAGTAGACATTGAAAATCATTAAATTGCGAAAAGTTTTTAAAAATAATTAAATTTTACAAGGAATTGAATTACAATTTTTGACAATAATTGAATTCTTGCAAATGATTTTATTAGAATTTTTTAAAATAATTGAATTTTCAAGAAGAAATTTATTAATTTTAAAAATAATTGAATTCTCGTGAAATTGTTATTTATCATTAATAATTGAATTCTTTTGAAGAATTATTTCAACAGAAAATAATTGAATTCTTGGGAAGAATTTTATATAAAATCTAAAAGAATAATTGAATTATTACAAAAAAATGTAATTAAAATAGTATTTAAAATAAATAAATAAATAATTGATTTCTTTCGAACAATTTTATTAAAATATTTGAAAATAATTGAATTCTTGTAAAAAATTCTAAAATTTTTGTAAATAATTGAATTCTTCCAAAGAATTGTTAAAAAAACATTTTTTCTAAATAATTAAGTTTTTCGAGGAATTGCAATTAAATTTTTAAGAATAATTACATTTTTTGAGCAATTCCTCTAAAATTGTATTAAAAATATTTGAAATCCTGTCATGAATTTTATTATTTATTAAATTCCTTGAGAAGAATTTTATTATTTATGAAAATAATTGAATTCTTGTTTAGAATTTTATCAAAAATTTTTTTAAAAACTTAATTGAATTCCTATGGAGATTTTATTATTTATGAAAATAATTAAATTTTGCAAAAAATTTTATTAAAATGCCACAAAATAATTGAATTTTCGGGAATAATTTTGTTATTTATCTTTAATAATTGAATCCTTTTGAAGAATTATTTGAACAAAAAATAATTGAATTCTTGGGAAGAATTTTATTAAAATTTAAAAAAATAATTGAATTATTACCAAAAAAATTAATTAAAATAGCTAGTATTTAAAATAATTGATTTCTTTCGAAACATTTTATTAAAAATTTAAAATATTTGAAAATAATTGAATTCCTGTGAAAAATTTTAATATTTTTGTAAATAATTAAATTCTTCCAAAGAATTGTTAAAAAAACATTTTTTTTAAAATAATTAAGTTTTTCGAGAAATTGCAATTAATTAATTAATTAATTTTTAAAAATAATTACATTTTTTGAGCAATTCCTCTAAAAATTGTATTAAAAATAATTGAAATCTTGTGATGAATTTTATTATTTATAAATATATTTGAATAGTTGCTAAGAATTTCATTAAAATTTTCAAAAATAATAAATTGAATTCGTTTGAGAAGAATTTTATTATTTATGAAAATAATTGAATTGCGGAAAATTTTATTAAAAACATTTAAAAAGAATTGAATTTCTGTTAAAAAAAATTTTTTTTATTTTTTAAAATAATTGAATTCTTGTTTAGAATTTTATCAAAAATTTTTTTAAAAACTTAATTGAATTCCTATGGAGATTTTATTATTTATGAAAATAATTAAATTTTGCAAAAAATTTTATTAAAATGCCTCGAAATAATTGAATTTTCGGGAATAATTTTGTTATTTATCTTTAATAATTGAATCCTTTCGAAGAATTATTTATGTAAATAATTGAATTCTTGGGAAGAATTTTTATATAAAATCTAAAAGAATAATTGAATTATTACAAAAAAAATTAATTAAAATATCTAGTATTTGAAATAATTGATTTCTTTCGAACCATTTTATTAAAATATTTGAAAATAATTGAATTCCTGTGAAAAATTTTAATATTTTTGTAAATAATTAAATTCTTCCAAAGAATTGTTAAAAAAACATTTTTTTTTAAATAATTAAGTTTTTCGAGAAATTGCAATTAATTAATTAATTAATTTTTAAAAATAATTACATTTTTTGAGCAATTCCTCTAAAATTGTATTAAAAATAATTGAAATCTTGCGATGAATTTTATTATTTATAAATATATTTGAATAGTTGCTAAGAATTTCATTAAAATTTTCAAAAATAATAAATTGAATTCGTTTGAGAAGAATTTTATTATTTATGAAAATAATTGAATTGCGGAAAATTTTATTAAAAACATTTAAAAAGAATTGAATTTCTGTAAAAAAATTTGTTATTTTTTAAAATAATTGAATTCTTCATGAGAATTTTATAAACATTGTTTTAAATAATTAAATTTCTCGAAATATAATAAATATTATGAAAATTTTATTTTAAAGAATTGAATTCTTGTAAAAAAAACTTAATTTGTGAAAATAATTGAATTCTTCGATGAGTTTTATTATTTATGAAAATAATTGAATTCTTGCTTAGAATTTTATCAAAAATTAGTTTTAAAAAATTGAATTTCTATGAAAAATGTTATTATTAGTGAAAGTAATTTAATTATTGTGAAGAATTGTATAAAAATTTTGTTAAATAATTGATTTTTTTGAAATTATTTTGAAAATACTATTCTAAAGTAATTGAATTTCTGTGAAAATTTTATCATTTATGAAAATAATTGAATTTCGAATGAATTTTATCAATTCTTTTTCTAAATGATTGAATTGTTTTGCGAAATTTGATGAAAATACTAAAAAAATAATTGAATATCGAATATTTTTTGAAAATAATTGAATCGTTTTTTAAAGAATTTAAATTATAATTTTTGAGAATACTTTTTAGTTTTGCCACTTTTTTGTCTGACTAAAATTAACCTCAATTGTTTTTTGTGGTCTGAATAAAATTAACCTCTATTGTTTTTTTTTTGGTCTGACTGTTTTTGGTTTCTCAAAAATTTACTTCTATTTTTCTTGGTCTGCGTCTGACTAAAATTTACGAATTGCAAGAGTTGAAATTTCTATTTGCCTGACAAAAAAGAAAAATTTAAACCGAAAATATAGAAATAAACGTTAAATAAATAAATAGAAATAAATAAATCAATAGAGATAAATAAATGAACGTTAAATTGCGTTAAATAAACAAATACGAATAAAGTATTATCGTTTACATTTCTCCCTTTTTTTTTTTTTTTTTTGCTTTATTGAAAATTCGAAATCCATATTTCTGTAATAAAACCACGTGGCACTATAACGTCAGCTGAGTATAACGGAGGGTTAAATGAAACATAAGTGCACATGATTGGAGCGATCCTTACATATGTGTTTGTGCAGGGATCTAGTTGTTAGGTAACGTGCATAAACCCGCTTTTTGGATTCAATCAAATGTGAATTTAATTTCTCTTGCGCAATACCTCTGATACAAATACACACACGCGTATACATCTCATCCGTAAGACACAGATTCACGTGGATGATATTACATAGATTTATAATAATGTAATAAAATAAAAATATCAAATTTCTATCTACTTCCATTTTATTGACTTGAATAAAAAAATTATTTCAAAAAAAAAAATATTTAAATCTATTGAAGAAGTTAACAATCTCTACGAATCAATTGTTAACTTCTTCCACCTTTACAATATTAATTACCGAATAATAAATTCCCTTCATTTAAAAAAAAATATTTATTTCATAATATACAAGTAATCGTTTATTTGATTCAAATAAATTTTCTCCCCAGTGTAAATAATTGATTACAGAAAAAATTTCAGATTTTCATAGTCAAATGGAATGATAATAAATGATAAAAGAATGAAAAAAAGAACAGACTTTGCACTCGATAATTAATTTTCAAAAAGTATCTTTCAAAGTACAAAAAAGTAGTAAAAAAGTAGCTATGGAAAAATTAATCTTGACGACCAAAAAAAAATTATTTTACACACAATTCACAAAACTGACAAAAATTCCATTCATCTATATTTTATTTTCCTGACTTTTTCCTAATTCTTATCAAAAATATTTACTTTTTTCTTATCCTGACAATGTCTGTGACAATAAATTGAATTCCTACAACGAATGTTATTATTCATGAAAGAATTTAAATATAAAAATAATTTAATTCTTGCGAAGAATTTTATAAAATTTTTTAAATAATTTATTTCTTTTCACTAGTTTTATGCAAATTCTAATTTAAATAATTCAATTCCTGAGAAATACAATTCATTTTTATTATTCATGAAAATAATTGAATTATTACGACGATTTTTACGACAAATTTTTAAAAAATTGAATTCTATTTGAAAGTTCTATGAAATTAGTAGAAAATTGAAAATCATTGAAATGCGAAAAGTTTGTAAAAATAATTCAATTTTACAAAGAATTCAATTAAAATTTTCGACAATAATTGAATTCTTGTAAATGATTTTATTAGAATTTTTTAAAATATAATTGAATTTCCAAGAAGAGTTTTTAAAAATAATTGAATTCTTATGATGAATAAATGTTATTTATGAAAATAATTGAATTTTGCAAAGAATTTTATATTAAAATGCCTGAAAATAATTGAATTTTCGGGAATAATTTTCTTATTCATCGAAATAATTGAATCCTTTCGAAAAATTATTTATGTAAATAATTGAATTCTTGGTAAGAATTTCATTAAAATCTATAAAAGAATAATTGAATTATTTAAAAAAAAAATTTAATTAAAATAGTATTTAAAATAAATGATTTGTTTCGAACAATTTTTTAAAAATATTTGCAAATAATTGAATTCCTGTGAAAAATTCTAAAAATTTTGTAAATAATTGAATCTTCTAAAGAATTATAAAAAAACTATTTTTTAAATAATTGATATTTTCAAGGAATTGAAATTATACTTTTAAGAATAAATTCTTAAAAGTAGAATTTCATTTCCTAATTACATTTTTTGAACAATTTCTCTAAAATTGTATTAAAAATAATTGCAATCCTGCCATGAATTTTATTATTTATTAAATTTCTTGAGAAAGAATTTTATTATTTATGAAAATAATTGAATTGCGAAAAATTTTATTAAAAATGTATTAAAAAGAATTGAATTGCTGTGAAAAAAATTGTTATTTTTGAAAATAATTGAATTCTTCAAAAGAATTTTATAAACATTGTTTTAAATATTTAAATTATTCGAAAAATAATAAATATTATGAAAATTTTATTTTAAATAATTGAATTCTTGTTAAAAAAAATGTATTTGTGAAAATAATTGAATTTTGCAAAGAATTTTATTAAAATGCCTCAAGATAATTGAATTTTCAGGAATCATTTTGTTATTTATATTACATAATTGAATCCTTTTAAGAATTATTTCAACAAAAAATAATTAAATTCTTGAGAAGAATTTTATTATAATCGAAAAGAATAATTGAATTATTACAAAAAAATTTAATTAAAATAGTATTTAAAATAATTGATTTCTTTCGAACAATTTTATCAAAATATTTCAAAATCATTGAATTCCTGATGGGAAAAATTTTTAATATTTTTGTAAATAATTGAATTCTTCCAAAGAATTTTAAAATAACATTTTTTTTTAAATAATTGCCTTTTTCTCGAGGAATAGAAATTCAAATTTTAAGAATAATTACATTTTTCGAGCAATTCTTGTAAAATTGTATTGAAAATAATTGAAATCCTGCGATGAATTTTTTTTATTTACGAAAATAATTGAATTCTTTGAGAATAATTTTATTATTTATGAAAATAATTGAATTGCGGAAAATTTTATTAAAAACATTTAAAAAGAATTGAATTTCTGTGAAAAAAATTTGTTATTTTTGAAAATAATTGAATTCTTCATAAGAATGTTTACAAACATTGTTTTAAAGAATTGAATTTTTCGAAATATAATAAATAATATGAAAATTTTTGTTTTAAATAATTGAATTCTTGTGAAAAATTTTATTTGTGAAAATAATTGGATTTTTCAATTAATTAATTTAAAATAGTATTAAAAATAATTGAAATTCTTTGATGGGTTTTATTATTTATGAAAATAATTCAATTCTTGCTTAGAATTTTATGAAAATTTTTTTTTTAAAAATTGAATTTCCATGAAAATGGTTATTATTAGTGAAAGTATTTGAATTATTGTGAAGAATTGTATAAACATTTTGTTAAATAATTGATTTTTTCGAAATTTTTTTGAAAATGCTATTCTAAAAATAATTTATTTTATTTATAAAAAAAATTTTTTTTAATTTCTATTATTTTATTATTTATGAAAATAATTGAAATTTTGGATGAATTTTATCATTTTATTTGTAAATAATTGAATTCTTTTGCGAAATTTGATGAAAATACTAGATATTGAAAATAATTGAATATCGAATATTTTCTGAAAATAATTGAATCGTTTTAAATAATTTTGATTATAATTTTTGAAAATACTTTTTTTGTGAAAATAAAATTTTTTCTTTTGAAAATAAAATTCATTTTTCAAAAAAAGAGTTTAAAAAAATGTCATGTTTGAAAAAATATTTTTACCATTAAAAATATATAAAAATTAGAAATAAATAAATAAAGTGAAAAAAAAAATATTTTGACTTACAGAACTGCGGAGAAATTTGTAAGTAGCAAGAGTCCCGTAAATTTCTTTGATCAAACTGATTTTCGATTTACTTTGAAAATTGAGAGCGTAGTGCGGTTTTAGCATTACAGTTCCACTCACCTAAATGAAAGACTCCTAAGAGAGCGATGAAGCATCCCTTTAGAAAACATATCAGAACTGCCATATCCGCTCCGTACTCAACGACAAGAGGTCTCACCATCACCGCCATAATTGCCGTTGGTCCTATTGTTATATTTTTACATGATCCAAATATCGTGTAGACAAATGACGCCATGAAACTCGAATACAGGCCATACTACAAAAACATTTTTTTTTTTTTTTTTTTTTTTTTTTTTTTTTTTTTAATATAATAATTAAACTAAACTTTTTACTTAATTTTTTTAAAAAGAAAATTAGCAATTCTTAAAATAATAGAACGAAAAATATTTCGAATTCAATTTTATTTTCATAAAAATAAAATATAAATTGGAATTTTAATAAATTTTAATAAATAAATTTTTATTTTAATAAAACTACCCAAATATTCAAGTTGCTGTTAGAAATATATTTAATAATTATATTTAAAGAAACATTTCTAAGGCCAAATAGAAATGTTTTTGCAACATTTCGATTTAAAAAAAAAATACTTTTTATTCTTTGTGAAAATTTCACGAATTCTGACCCTAAATATACAAGTAATCCAGTTATATTTGAAACAAAGAATTTTCTTTTAAGTTTCAACAATTTCTTATTTATTTTATTTCCAAAAAAGATGATAGTTATCCTTTTATCGAAATAAAATGTATAAAAATAAAATAGAAGATTTTTCACATATTTATTTGTATTTTTGTATTTAAAAAAAAAAAAAAAAAAAAAAATACTCTGGATTTATTTGACTGTGCGTCAAACTAGCCCCGGGGTCAAAATTTAATGATACCATACTATACCTATTAAAGCAGGATATCTATCACTAGGAATTGTGTAATTAGACGAACAATCAGTTAGGTCATAAGTGGATCATGTACCTCAGGACCTAAACCAGCAACAATGCCGTAAGCAATTCCTTGAGGTATTGCTGTTAAACCAACTGTAATACCAGCCAACATGTCCTCAAGCAGCCAAGATTTTTTATAATCACGCAGCCAATATAAAATTGGTATTCTTCGCGTTAGATAGTTATTCAATGAAAATCTCCTCCATTTCTCTGGAAAAACAGAAAAAAAAGAAGAAAAATTAACAAAAGAAAAAATTTTTTTTCTCAAAAAAAAAAAAGAAAATGGCGCGTGAAACATTTTTTTTTCTATTTTTATTTCGAAAAAAAGAAAATGACAATGTTCTTCACAATAGATTCGATTATATCTCTCGATACATTATAACAGGCGTTTCTCTTTGTTATTTTAGAAGAAAAAGTGTGCTCTACAACATTTGAAAAGAAAGATTGCAATCTTTTTTCTTTCTTTTTTTTTTTTTTTTTTTTTTGCTTTTTAAAATCCAAACACTATCTCTACGATACTTTATAAATGTTTGCAATTATTATGCATAATCGAGAGAATTAAAGAGAATTATGTAAAATAATATCAAAAAAATGTGGAAAAAAATGTTAAAGTTAATACAATAATATTTTAAGAGAGGAAATAAAGTTTCATTAAAATACAATTATTAAAAATTTTTTTCTTGAAATTCTTTTCAATAGAAAATTTTTAATATTTTTAATTAAAAAAATAAAAAAATTTATTAAAAAATAAAAAAATTTATTAAAATTTAAAAAAATTTAACGTTAAATAATTTTTAATATTAAAACTGACTTTTATGCGCATTATACTTTATATTTACATTATATTCTATTTTATTTTATTTTAGAAGAAAATGATTAAAAAGCGACTTTTATTCTCGTTTTCAAAAAAAATTCTCTTTTTATTTTTTCATTATTCTGCAAAATAATATATTTTTTTGTTATTAAGTTTTTCGATCTTTCAGTGATAAACAATAATTTTTTTGTTGTACAACTTTTAATCATTGTATTTTTTTATTAAAAAATATTGTTTGCTATATTAAAAAATTAATTTTTAAGTTTTCAACTTCGTTTTTGTATTTATTTTTCAAAATAATAATTTTTCCAAACATTTTCAAATAGAAATGGAAATATTTTGCAAAATTGAAAAATCATTTGTTTATTTAATAAAAAAAAAATGGTTAAAAATTTAGCAAAAAATTTATTGTTTTTTGAAAACATAAAGCAAAATGTTCTTTATTTTTAAGATTTTTTGTTGGCCGTATTAAATTCTAAATAAAAATAATTTATAAAATTTACAAAAATAATTTACTAAAGTATTTACGAACTAAATTTCCAAATGAAATTTAGAAACAAAATTTTAAAATCGAATTTAAAAAAAAACAAAATTATATGTAAATCGAAATTTAGATAATGAGAATTCTTAATGAATTTAGAAATTTAATTTCGAAAGACTCAAAATTTCTGTAATGAAAATTTCGTAATTAAATTTCTAACTAAAATTTGAAAATGTAAAATAAATATTACCAAAAAGAATTTATGAATATTTATATATATAAAAAAAAAAAAAAAAATTTCTAGATAAAAAATAAAATTTTCTGAATGAAGAAAACAAAATTTCTAAATAAAATTTAATCCTATTTTTTAAAATTATAAATAAAAAAGAATAAAATTTCTAAACAAAAAAAATAAATAAAAATAAATTAAAGAATAAATAAATAGTAAAAATATTTTCCATTCACAAATTTTTTACAAGAATTCAATTATTTTCAATGTAATTTTAAATATTTTAATACCATTTCTCAAAAGAATTCAATTATTTTCAAATTTTTTTAATGACAATTCTGCGCTAGATTTCAATTATTTTCAATATAATTTTAAATATTTTAATACTATTTCTCAAAAGAATTCAATTATTTTCAAATATTTTAATGAAAATTCTGCGCTAGATTTCAATTATTTACAAAAAATTTTAATGAAATTCTTTGCGGAAATTCAATTATTTTTAAAAATTTTAATAAATTTCTTTGTATGAATTCAATTACTTTTAAAAATTTGCAATTATTTTCAAAAGCAATAAAATAATCCTTCTCTGAAATTCAATTATTTTCAAAATTTTTAGTGAAATTCATGGCAAAATTCAATTATTTTTCTAAATAATAAATTTATTTTCAATTCCATTTTTTCCATAAAATTTTTTGAAAGTTTTCAATTATTTTCAAAAGCAATAAAATTCTGCGTAGAAATTCAATTATTTTCAAGTTTTTAGTGAATCTCTTGGCGAAAATTCAATTATTTTCCAATTTTTAGTGAATTTCTTGTCGAAAATTCAATTATTTTCAAATATTTTTATAAAATTCTTCGCAAAATATCAATTATTTTTAGAAATAATTCAATTCTTTGAAAAAATTCAATTATACTTTCAATACAATTTCTTTGTTGAAATTTAATTATTTTCAAAAATTATAGTGAAATTCTTTATGAAAATTCAATTATTTTCAAAAATTTTGACAAAATTCGTAATGGAAATTCAATTATTTTCAAAAGTTTTAGTGAAATTCATGGCAAAAATTCAATTATTTTCCTAAATAATAAATGTATTTTTAATACAATTTTCCATGAAATTTCTTGAAAGTAAATAAAATTGTTTTAAATTCAATTATTTAAAAAAATTCTTCAATCTTCGCAGAAATTTAATTATTTAAAAACTTTTAATTAATTTCTTGGCCACAATTCAATTATATTCAAAAATTTTGACAAAATTCGTAGTGGAAATTCAATTATTTTCAAAAGTTTTAGTGAAATTCATAGCAAAAATTCAATTATTTTCCTAAATAATAATTGTATTTTCAATACATTTCCATAAAATTTCTTGAAAGTATTCAATTATTTAAAAAAATTCTTCAAAATTCGTAATGAAAGTTGAATTGTGTTGAATTCAATTTGAATTAAATTATGATTTTTAATTCAAAACAATTTTTTTGCATTCATATTTTTTGTTATTATTTAATCTAAAATACATTAAATGAGAAATTTCACTAATTGCGTGAGACACATTTTTTCCTCTATTTAAATAAAAAAAAATATATTTTCCCTTACAAAAAAAAAATACTATTTTCTAAGAAATCGTAAAAAGGCAAATATCCAAATATCTCCTAAATTATAAAGATGTATTTTCAGGGTAAAAAATCTTCGCACAACACGAGACATGTAAACAAAGAAAAAAAGTAATCTTCAGAAAAGCGACGAAAATTTTTTCCTACGTGTATTTCGAATAATATTGAGTGTTTCTATACATGTATTTTTTATTTTTTCTCCGCACGTGTAGTGGGGAAAAAGTTTAATAAACACCAAGTTCAAGTCGTTCTCCAAGCAAGGAGAAAAGAGAGGTAAAGAGCGAGGAGAAAAGAAAAGGTGGGAGAAAAGGTAAACTGTCTTTTGTCTATACAAGACAACATATCCTTTCCCCGTGACAGTTCGGTGACAAAAAAAAAAAAAAAAAAAAAAAGAAAAAGAAATTCATGCACTGAAAATGCAGCAATGTTAGCGCGTGCGCAAATTAAAAACGTAAACGGGAATGAATGGATGTTACCGTTCTCACAGTATCGCGCAATACGGCGACGAGGACTGTCGCTTTTTTTTATAGGAAAAAGAAAGAGTAGAAAACCGAAAAAATTCGAGAAAAAATTGTTGAGAAAAAAATAGTAAATAAATTAAAATTAAAGAAAGAAAAAAATTAATGTCGGGATAAATTTTTCTACCACTTTCGTTTTACTCCTAAAAAAAATAAAATAGTTTATTTAAATGACGAGAAAGGGGAAAATTTTCACTAAGCAACAAGTTTTGAAAAAAAAAAATATTTCTTCCCCCACTGGAGAATTTTTTTATTCTAATTTAAATTTAAAATTTTAATTATTAATTATTAATTAAAGTTGTGTATTAATTAATTTATGTTCTCTATTAATTAAATTAAATTAAATCAACTATTAACTAAAAAAACTATTAATCAAAAAAATTATTTACTAAATTAAATTATTAATTGTTATTCAAGAAAAATATTTAAAGAGTATTTTACAAAAGAGAGAGAAATTCTGTACTTGAAAAAATTATTTTTCTTCGAAGTGGTTTTATTTTAATGGAACAATTTCAAAAAAGCGAAAATAAAATAAAAAACCGTCTTTCGAATTGCATTTATTGAAAAAGTAATTTTTTGCAATTAAAAATGAATTATGAATTCAGGAAGTAAATTATATTGTAAGAAAACGAATATATTATAATAAAGGGCGAATCCGGTTTATATTGGAATAAATAAATATAAAAGGAAATAATTATAAAGAAAAAATTTAGTGAAATAAATATAATAAAATAAAAACAAAATAAAAAAAATATAAATAATAAAAAAATATAAATAATAAACAAAATATAAGTAATAAACAAAATATAAATAAGAAAAAAATATAAATAATAAACAAAATATAAGTAATAAACAAAATATAAATAAGAAAAAATATAAATAATAAAATAAATGTAGAAAAATAAGAACAATAAAATAAAAAAGAAAAATAAGTGTAATAAAATAAAAATGAAAAATAAATGTAATAAAAAAAATAATGAAATAAATGTGAGAATATAAAAACAATGAAATAAATATAATAATAGAATATAAAAATTTAATCAAAGGAAAAAAGTAAAAAAAGAAGAAAAAAAAAATTAAAAGAAAATGGAAAAGGAAAAAATTAATGAAAATGTAATAAATAAAATGTAATAAACGAAATATAATAAATAAAATGTAATAAATGAAATGTAATAAATAAAATGTAATAAATAAAATGTAATAAATATAATATAACAAATATAAGATAAACAATATAATATAATAAATAAAAAATAAGAAATATAATTAATACAATGCAGTTTAATATAATACAATAAAAATCGAATGAAGAGTGAATTAAATTTTTTTAAAACTCAAAAAAAAAAAATAAGTGCAAGTGAAAAAGTGAAAATAAAAAAAATGACATAAAAAACGAATTGTCAAGAATCCCAAAAATAGTTTTCCCCCATTGAAAAGAAAAAATAGAAGAAAAGTTGATATGTGCGTGTGTGTCTTTATTTTAAAATCAAAGAAAAAAATATATTAAAAACAAAAATCTACGTTGCGTGAAAAATATATTTATTCAGAATTAAAACTCTATGAAAAATAGATGGATGATAAATAGATTTATTCAAAAAAAAAAAAAAAAAACAGTGTTTCGTGAAAAAATTTATTTATAAAAAAAAAACTGTTGCCAGAAAAATATATTTATACAAAAAAAAACTTTATTGCGTGAAAAAATATATTTAAATATTAAAAGTAAAAAACTGTGTCGCGTGATAATAAATAATTTATTGTGATATTTGAAATTTTATCCCCCCCTCCAAAAAAAAAAAAAATCAGTGTACGATCCTAGAATATTTATTCATAATAAAAAACGGACTATGAGTTGGAAATATTTTATGCATGAAGAAGATGAGCCAACACCAACAGACAGAGTTTATTTAGAAAAATTAATTGCAATAAAAAAAAGTCTCACTAAACGAAAACTAAAGCAATTGAAGAAAAATGATTCTTTAACTCGATTTACACCGCGAGAAAAAATATATCCTAATAACTAAGAAAAGAAAAAGCAGAAAAGCAGAAAAAAAGGATTTTTAAGCAGAAAAAGAAGAAAAAAACAAGAAGAGAGGAAATTGACGATTTAAGCGGAGAAAAAAAAAGAAAAACATTAAAAATGAGAAAAGCGAGTGCTTAGAGAGTGAAGTTTTTTTTTTAAACATCTCCTTCACAATGCGTGACATGCAACGGATCAATCAGAACCGTTGCGAAACGCAAATGCATCAACGAAAAACACGATAACGAACAAATGGAAACTGACGGTAATTTCAGGTATGTAATCAATTTTTATTATATTTTTTATTTTCTTTACTTCATGATTTTCAATTTCAGATGATTCATTTTTTTTGTGTGTGTGTTTATTCTCTCTTTAAAGAATATATGAAAAATTATATTTTTTATGAGAATTTTTTTTTTCAATTCAAAAATTTTAATTCATAATTTGTTTGATAAATATTGTACAATAGAATAATAAAACAAAATATTAACAATTAAAATAGAACAAAACATCAAAGTAAATGAAAAACAGTAAAATGTCAAAAATCAAAAAATTGGACAAATTAATTATTTATAAATAATATTTTAATTCAAAATTCTTTGATAAATTGTACAATAGAATATAATAAAACAAATATTAACAATTAAAAGAGAACAAAACATAAAAAGAACAAATGAAAAACAGTAAAATGATAAAAACAAAAAATTGAACAAAAAATTAAACAAATAATTATTATTATAAGTAGTATAATAATAATAATAATAATAATAATAATAATAATAATAATAATAATAATAATAATAATAATAATAATAATAATAATAATAATTATTATTATTATTATTATTATTATTATTAAGTAGTATTATAATTATTATTATAAGTAATATATAATGATAATTTTCGTTATGAATATTTTTATTATTTTTATTATTAATATTATTATTACTTTTATTATTATTATTTTTCTTATTATTATTATTATTATTATTATTATTATTATTATTATTATTATTATTAATTTTAGCATTAATACCAGTATTATTAATATTTTCCCTATAATTTTAACTTCCTTTTTATACATTTGAAAGTAACTTTAACAAAATTTACAAATTCTTTATTCAAAAGAATTTTTTTAATATAAGAAAGACATGAAAAACGATTTTTATGGGCAATTTAAAAAATCTTATCAAAACATCAGAGCAGAAAGTAGAAAAAAAAGGAAAGAGCTTCTCATTAAGTAACAATTTTAAATTCCAATTTTATTTTTGCTTCGTGAAAAAAAATTATTCTTAACTTTCCTTATTTTATATTTGAATAAAATAATTTATTTCTATAATTAATTATTAATATTACATACTATAAATATTATTTATTTATTTATTATAAATATTATTATTACTAGCTAATGTTACGCGGGAAACTCGATATTAATTATGTATTATGTTATTAATATTATTATGCAAATTACAAAATTTGTCATTTTTAAATGTCATCTGAAATTTTTGAATTACTTTAAATTAAAAATTGAAAAAAAAAATATTCAATTATTAATTAATTATTATTATTTATTATTTTCAAAAATTGTTAAAACTTTATACGAAACAAATAAACAATTCAACTATTTTCAAATATTTTAATATAAAATTCTTCAACATTATAATTCAATTATTTTCAAATATTTTAAATTTTTAATATAAAATTTTTCAACATAATTCAATTATTTTCAAATATTTTTATATAAAATTCTTCAACACAATTCAATTACTTTAAAAAATTTTAATGGAAAAATCTTCAAAATAATTCAAATATTAATAACAAACATATACATGAGATTTTTACCAATTTTCATAAATTTCAATTATTTTTATAAATATTAATAAATTCGTTACAAGAATTCAATTATTTTTATAGGTAGCAACATTTTTTTTTTGTAGAAATTCAATTATTTTTAATACAATTTTAATAAACTCGAAAATATTCCATGTCTTGTTTTCTAAAAATTTTAATGAACTTTTTGACAAAAACTCAATTATTTTCAAAAATTTTAAGGAAATTCAATTATTTTTAAAAATTTAAATAAAATTCTTTGCAAGATTTCAATTATTTTTAAAAGCAATAAAATTCTTCTCTAAAATTCAACTATATGTTTAAAAATTGTAAAAAAAAATTCTCGTCAAAATTTCAATTATCTTTATAAATAATAAAATTCTGCTGCAAAATTCAATTATTTTCAAAAATTTTAATGAAATTCATGACGAAAATTAAATTTTTTTTAAATATAGAAAATTTTTATGAACTTCCTTGATACTATTCCTGTATTCAATTATTTAAAAAAGTTTAAAAGAAATCCTTCGCAAGATTTCAATTATTTTTATAATTAATACTAAATTTTTTACAAGAATTCAATTATTTTCAATTAATATAATTTAAAATATTTTAATACCATTTCTCAATAGAATTCAATTATTTTTAAATATTTTAATAATTATTCTGCGCTTGATTTCAATTATTTTTATAGGTAGCAAACTATTATTTTGTAGAAATTCAATTATTTTTAATACAATTTGGATAAAATTTCTCAAAATAATTCAATGTCTTATTTTCTAAAAATTTTCATGAAATTCTTGCCAAAAACTCAATTATTTTCAAAAATCTTTAAGGAAATTCAATTATTTTTAAAAATTTAAATAAAATTCTTTGCAAGATTTCAATTATTTTCAAAAGCAATAAAATTCAATTATGTTCAAAAATTATAAAAAAATTCTTCTGCAAAATTCAATTATTTTCCAAAATTTTAATGAAATTCGTGGCAAAAATTCGATTATTTCCCTAAATAATAATTTTTTTTTAGTACAATTTTCTATGAACTGTCGTGACAGTATTCAATTATTAAAAAAAGTTTTTTTTAGAAATTCTTCGCAAGATTTCAATTATTTTTAGAAATAATAAAATTTTTTGCAAAAAATTCAATTTTAATGAAATTCTTCTGGAAAATTTAGTTATTTTCCAAAAAATTTTAGTCAATTTCTTTACGGAAATTCAATTATTTTCAATAGTTTTATAGTGAAATTCTTTGCGGAATTTTAATTATTTTCCTAAATAATAATATTTTTCGCGGGAATTAAATTATTTTTAGAATAATTCTCTATAAAATTTTTTTGAAAGTATTCAATTATTTAAAAAAGTTTTTTCGAAATTCTTCGCAGAAATTCAATTATTTTCAAAAGTTTTAGTGAATTTCTTGTCGAAAATTCAATTATTTTCAAATATTTTTTATAAAATTCATCGCGAGATATCAATTATTTTTAGAAATAATAAAATTCTTTGCAAATATTCAATTACTTTCTCCAAAAAAATCCCATTATCTATTTTTAAAGATTTTAATGAAATTCTTCGTTGGAAATTCAATTATTTTCCTAAATAATAATATTTTTCGCGGGAATAAATTATTTTCAATACAATTTTCAATAAAAAATTTCTTAAAAGTATTCTATTCTTTAAAAATAAGTTTTAAAGAAATTTTTCGCAGAAATTCATTTTTTTCAAATTTTTTAGTTAATTTCTTGGTCTAAAATTCAATTATTTTCCAATTTTTAGTGAATTTCTCAGCGTAAATTAAATTATTTTCAAAAATTTTGATAAAATTCGTAATGAAAGTTCAATTGTGTTGAATTTAATATTCATTAAATTATGTTGAATTCAATTTTAATTAAATTACGATTTTTAATTCAAAACCATTTTCTTGCATTATTATAAAACAAGGACAGTCATCAATAAACAGAAAGTAAAATTAAATAATATTAAATTAAATTTATTAAAAATAAAAATTTTTATCAAAAATTAAAAAATCCTTCGATAATAATAATTTTTTATCTTTGCCCGTATATATTTTTTTTAATAAAGAAACTGAATGAATTGTTTGTCCAAACTTTCAAAACAATAAAAATTTCCTTCACTGAAAAAAAAATATTACAAAGGAAAACTAGAGTAAAAAGAAATCAAAGACAAAAATAAATAATAAATAAACCACTATCTGTGAAACTAAAAGAAAGGGCCATTCAAAGAACATTCAGAAAAAAATAATAAAACAAAAAAAAATTTTCTGGAACTTTTGCAAAAAAAAAAATTTTCATAGCACATAAATTTTCAAACATTCATCAACTTTTATAATACTTGAATATCAGAAAAAAAATTTTTCCCTCTTTTCTAAGGGGAGACAAAAAAAAGGGCGTCGAGGGGGATAGACGGAGATAGAAGAACGAGAATATAAAAATATAACATAGTCATAAATTTGTCCATTCAGTTTTGCTAGATAGAAAATTCATTGTTCGATAACTGAATTTGCGGTTGGTTCCAAGAGCAGACGGAAAATTGTAAAGAGTAGCTGTGTGAAAATCAGATAATAAAATATAGTATTGCGAGAGAAATTATTTTTATGCATTATCTTTTAATTTCTTCCCTTCTTTTTTTTATTAATTCGTACATATTTTTTTTTTTTTTTTTTTTTATTTTGCAAACGAAAAACGAAATTGCAAATTAGAGAAATGTCCCCTATTTCTTTAATAAAATAGATGAGAGAAAACTTTCTATATTTTTTTTAAATAAAAAAATAATTTAATAAACACAAGTTTTCATTTTAGATTTAAATATAAATCACAATATTTTCTCTCGCGCAGTGATAAATGGATTTAATGAAAAACAATATATTTATAGAACTCTCTCTTTCTCTCTCTATTTGTCTCACTCTCCTCTTGTTTCTTATATAATAAATTCATTGAAAGGGTGTAATGCCGTGACTAAGATTATTAATCATTTCCCTCAAAGTGGAAATTTATGAAATTTCATTTTGTAATGTACTATTTTTTATGCGTGTGCAAATATTTATTCACATGGGTCATTCGCGTAGTTAATTAATTGTTAATTAATATTTGAATATTCATGAATTTTTATAATTTCGTTATTTATTGTTTTTTCTTTCATTTTTTTCCCCCTAACGAAAGCATAACTTTTATTTCTCAATAAAATTATTGTTCACAAACTCATTCTTTTATTTTAGAATAAAAAAAACATTACATATTCCCGTTGTAGAAAATTTTTAATTTTCATTTAATTTACATAATTTCTATTTCTTAATTTCAATTGTTTTAATAAAATTCAAAGTTTTTTAAAAATAAAGCAAAAAAAAAATGTTTATAAATATTAAATTCTATTTGTCAATTATAAATTTTAATTGAAAAAATAAAGAAAAATAAAGAAAATTTTTATTGAGAAAATAAAGGAAAAAATTTTACTCAAAAAAATGTTCTGTTACATTTATTAATTTTCATATTCAATTATTATCTAAAATTGTAAATAAAATATATTTTTAAATCAATTTTTATTCGAAAATTCTACGAGAATTCAATTATTTAAATACAAAAAAAAGTTGCGACTGAGCTACAGTACTGGCCAGTACTGGGTACAGGGTAAAAACTCTTTTCTAAAAGACATTTTTAGAGACTATAATTTTTAACAAGTGTTGTGTTTTTTAATAGAAAAATTTATATTATGATATATGAATATTTCTATTTATTTGTGTGAGTATCATGAAATTATTTTTATAACTATTTTCAATATTTTATTTTAATACGAAATAAACACAAACATACACACATACACATACACATAATGTATTACACTACAAATTAATTTCTGTAATTGTATTTAATATTTGGTTGTGCTCAGAAATATTATTTTTGTGAAATGTAGTTTTCTAAATTTTCTAAATGCAAATTAGAGTTTTCCTTAACTTACACTCTTTCACTTCTAAAACCTTTTCAGGCTTCGCGGTCAACGTGTACCTACCGAGACCCGATCATAAAAATCGGTTCGGGTGAAGTACTTGCAATGTATAACGTTACCCTCTCTCTTTGCATTTTTTATCTCTTTCTAATATACACTAATTTTTGTATTTTTCATCTTTTTTCTCTTTTCAGAAGCGACGCTTTCCTTTGCGATCGCCATTTTTGAAATTAGTCTTAGACCCGTTCTCGTCCTGAGCACAACCTCGCTCCGAGAATCCGAAAATAAATTGTTAATTTGTTAAATTTTAATAATTGAGTTTTATTTCTTATTATTTGCACCCTACCGACTAAAAAGTAAATAATTTATTGAAGAATTGAATGTTTTTTAAAATTGAACTCTCATTTAAAGAATTTGATCAATAAATTTTTAAATAGGTAATTAAAATTCTTTTGACGAATTTCAATAAAATTTTTGAGAATAATTTCATTTTTCGAGAAATTAGATTAAAATTGTATTAAAAATAATTGAAATTCTGCCATGAATTTTATTATTTATGTCGAAAATAATTAAATTCCTAAAAAGAATTTTATTATTTTCGGAACATAATTAAATTTCTGTGAAGAATTTCATTACTCTTGAAAATAATTGAATTTCTGCAATAATTTATAATTTCTCCAAAATAAAAATTTTTTTTTCGTGTTTTTATAACTAAAATTCTTCCTTAAATCAATTATTTTTAATAATTTCTGACAAAATTTTTTTTCAAATTTTCAAATTTATTTGTTTAAAATTCAATTTGACAAAATTTCTGTTATTATTCGAAAATTCTTCAATTAAAAATAAATTATAAAATAACAACTTCAGAAAATTTCAAAAAAAATTCAATTAAACCTTTTGAAAAAAATTAATTTCACAGAATTATTAGTTAAAATTTTACTTTTCAAAGATTTTAATTTGACACCTTTTTTAGAATTTAATTATTTTTAAAAATTCATGCTCTAATGCTTTTAATATTCAATATTATTATCTAAAAAATTTGAACTGAAATTCATTTTTAAAATCAATTTTTATTAGAAAATTCAACTAGAATTCAATTATTTAAATATAAAATTTTTACAGAGATAAAATTATTTTCGTAAATAATAAAATATTCGCTGGAATTTAATTATTTGCAAACACAATTTTCATAAAATTTTTCGAAAAAAATCAATTATTTAAAATGATTTTTATAAAATTCTTCGGTAGAATTCAATTATTTAAAAAAAAAATTATTAAAGTTCTTTGTAAGAATTCAATTCTTTTTTTAAACATTTTAATAAAATTCGTTACAAGAATTCAATATTATTTTAAAAATTTTTTTTATAAAATTCTTCGCTGGAATTCAATTATTTAAAAAAAATTAATAAAGTTCTTTGTTAGAATTCAATTATTTCAAAATATTTTAATAAAATTTTATAAAATTCTTCGAATCAATTCAATTGTTTTAAAAAATGTTGATCAAATTTTCGATAAAAATTTCAATTATTTTCAAAAATTTCCCTCAATTCAATGATTTTATTCGGTATTTATGAAAATAATAGAATCCCTGTAAAGAATTTTATTATTTATGAAAATAATTAAATGTTGTCATTTTCATCATTAAATTTAGGAAAATTATTGAAATTTTGCTAAGAATCTCATGAAAATTTTTTTTTAAATAATTGAATTTCTAAAAAAAATTCGAGAATTTAAAAAAATTTTTGAACATAATTGAATTTCTATGAAATTTTTATTATTTAGGCAAATAATTGAACTTTTGCGTAGAATTTTATTAAAATTTTTTTTTAATAATTAAATTCTTTTGGAAAATTTTATTAAAATAGTAGATATATATATTGAAAATCATTGAAATTTGAGGAAAATTTTGTCAAACAATTGAAATTTTTCCAAGAATTTCATTAAAATTTTTGAAAATAATTTTGATTTCGAAGAAGAAATTTATTATTTATAAAGATAATTGAATTTTTGATGAGATTTTTTTTAAATTTTCGAACATAATTGAATTTTTGAATAGAATTTCATTACTTTTGAAAATAATTGAATTTCTGCAATCATTTGTAACTTCTCTAAAATTCAAATTTTTTTAGTCAATTTTGAACTAAAATTCTTCTATAAATAAATTATTTTCAATAATAATTAATTAATTAAAAAATTTTAAAAAATTTAACTAATTTTAGAATACTGCAAAATATTATTAAATGGACTAATTTATTATCAATTTTTCAATATAATATAATTGCCCCGTCAATAAAGTAAATAAAAAAAAATAAATAAGAATGTTTATAATTATAATATAATAATAATAATAATAATAATAATAATAATAATAATAATAATAATAATAATAATAATAATAATAATAATAATAATAATAATAATAATAATACACTAAAAAAAATATATATTTGAATCACCTCAAAAATTAGTTTTGAATTAAACGCAATTTTCATTCAATCAAATTTATTACTTTAATTAAATAAAATATGTTTAATTCAAACTTTTTTTTTCTTCAGTTGACTACATATTTTTCTATTAAAAGAAAATATTTCTCAGTGTAATATTAATAATAATAATTAATACACTAATTATTAATACTAATAAATAATCATGTATTATTTTATAATAATAATAATAATAATTCTATTTCGAGATAGAAACTTTTAATTAACACAAAAAAAAATATTTATACAAAAAAAACTATACATTGCGCGAAAACTTTAAGAATGTAAAAAATTTCCATTTTATTCTGCTCAACTATATGAAAAAAAATTTACAGACGAAAAAAATTATTAAAAATATTCTTTATAATGTTATTTATTGAGTGAAAAAAATTCTTGAGCTAAAAATATTGTAAAAGTGTAGATAAAGAGCAAATAAATTTGCAGGGAATATTCAGAATATAATACAATATTGTAAAAAATTTCCTCCATAGAAATATTCTTTTATATATGAGATACGCTGCAAATTAAAAGTAATTTTTTTCCTTAAAATGAAAAAGAATTTATTATAATCCTAATTTGCGAAAAATTTATATTTTAAAAAATATGAATAGAAAAATAATAATAATAATAATAATAATAATAATAATAATAATAATAATAAAAATAATTATAATAGAAATGACAGCAATGAAAATAAAAATAAAAAGATAAAAATAAGAAAATAAAATTAAAAACAAAAAAATAAAAGAATATAAATAAAAACCGAAAAATAAAAAACTGAAAATGAACAATAACATCAATTTTCTTAAGAATAATACCTACTGTTACTAATAAGAACAAGAATTATTAAAATAGTCGATGGCCCTAGTCGTTAAGGCACGTGAATTACTGAGTAGAAATTATGGGGTCTGTGGTTCGATCCCCAACACCCAGATATCATTTTTAATAATTGTTATAATTCTTTGCGATTCAGGACTAATAATAATAATAATAATAATAAAGAATAATAACAATAAATAATAATAATATTATTAATAAAAAATAACAATAAATAATAATAATAAATAATAATGCCGACTATTATAAATAAATACCCTAAAATTGAAAATATTATTAATACTAAAAAAAATTAATACAAAAACGGAAGTTCGTGCATTTACATTCGAGGAAAAAGCAATAACAAAAAAAAGAAAAATTTCGAGTAGCTTTATACATACCAAACGAATCCATGACTATTTATCAAGATGCCTTTTACAAGTACTCCTTTTCTTCCTGAATACACACTGTTTTATTTCTTATCAGTTTATGGTTTATTCAATATAGTGATTCTTCTATCGACGGCATATTATAGATATACACACTCGTTTCACTATATATTAGACGTCAGAGCTAAGAATTCTTTAAATCCTGACGTCTTATTGTTTCACATCCTTTGTCTATAATATTGCCGATTCTCAATGTACATCCTTTCAAACAAATTGATATACGCACTGAATATATATTATATTTTTTCTTTTTTCTTTTTTCTTCACATTTTGCAGATAAACTCAAATATTTACAAAAAAACACGAGTATATCTCAAATATTTATTTCGATATCATAATTTTTTTTTTTTTTTTGAAAATAATTTATTCAATTTGTTTAGAATTTTTTTGTCCAGAAAACATAATTTATATGAATAATAAATAATAATCCACACGTGAATATTTATGAATATTTGAAATTTATTTCTTTAATTCATCATTTATTTATTTAAAATAGGGAATTATTATTATTTATTTATTTACTTAGTTGTTTACTTATATATTTACTTATACTTATCTGTTTATTTATTTACTTATTTGTTTATTTATTTACTTATTTGTTTATTTACTTACTTATTTATTTATTTATTTACTTACTTATTTGTTTACTTATTCATTTATTCGTTTTTTAATTTATTTACTAATTTTTTTATTTATTTGTTTATTTACTTATTTATTTACTTGTTTATTTATTTATTTACTTATTTATTTACTTGTTTATTTATTTATTTACTTACTTATTTATTTATTTATTTATTTACTTACTTATTTGTTTATTTATTCATTTATTTGTTTTTTAATTTATTTACTAATTTGTTTATTTGTTTATTTACTTATTTATTTACTTACTTGTTTATTTATTTTTTACTTATTTGTTTATTTGTTCCTTATTCTCTATTAAATTATTTGTTGAGTTATTTATTTATTCATTCATTTATTTTTTTAAATTAAAATTACGAAAAAATGGGAGACCATCTCTGCTGGGAATCGAACCCCAGAACCTTCTAATGACCGGTTGATTGCTCTCCCACTGAGCTACTGAAGAATATTCATTGATACACTTTATTCTCATTTACTTTATTATTTATTAAACCTTTATTTATTGACTTATTTATTTATTTACATATTTGCTTATTTATTATTTATTCTACATTCACTTATTGTTTATTTATTCATTTATTTGCTCATAGTTAATTATAAATATTATCGTAAATTATTTACGAAAAAACAAATAAAAGAAAAAATTGTTTTGAATATTGCATAATTTATTTATTTAATAAATAAATAAATTATAATTTATTTATTAAATAAATAAATTATGCAATATTCCAAAAAAATTTTTCTTCAAATAAAAAAAATGAAACGTGTAAAATATTTATTCGAAATAGAAAAAGATATTTATTTTTTTTATTGACGAGGAATGAGAATTGAAAAAAGTTAATGACAAATATAAAAAAAAATTTATCAAAAATATTTTAAGTGTGTTTAGTATGCGAATAGATATTAGACTATTTTATCGAGATTTTTTTTTTTACTTTAATGAAAAAACAATGGTTGAATAAAAGAAATTTTTTCTGTATTAAAAATTGGAAGCTAACAAAGTTATTTTCATATCAAAAACGTGATGATTACACGCTAGCATTTTCTTTTTAATTTATATATATATATTGTTGTATATAATAAATTCTGTTAAATGCAAATATATAGCAGACTTATTATTCATAAAAGTTAATTTCTAAAACAATGTAAAATATCTGTACTGCATGATAATTAAAAATAAAAATAAAAATAAAAATGATTTTCAGATATAATTTCATGTTTCTACTTATTCATACTATTCAACACGGAAATTAAACTTTATTAAAATTAAAAGTAATTCTCGCGATACTGAACTAAAATTCATATAATATAAAATAATTGTCTTCCTTTGTGTAATCATTTTACATTGTAAATAAATAAATAACAAAATTGCGAAATATGAGAAAATAAATATCAAAATTGAGAAATATATTTAGATAAATAAATAAGCAAAGAATTGTGTATCTAAATAAATGAATAAAATTTAAAAAAATTTATTTCTCTGTTTTATTCAATTTAGATGATTGAAAGTAAACAATAATAAATAAAGTACAAGTTTAAAATAACTTTCGAAAAAAAAAATTGTTTCCAATGATATACACAACAGAAATCAAATTTACTCTCTTTACAATTCATGTTTGAATAAAAAATTTTTGTTTATAGTGAATTTTCTTTAAAAGAAACTTTTTTCTCTCTCTCTCTCTCTTCTTTCTTTAAAAAGAAGGAAAAAAATCAAACAAGACTTTTTAACTTTGTGCTGAAATAAACTTTCATACAAATCGAATTGTATTATATTCTCAAAGAACTTCTTTTGAGATTTTAATTCTTACAAATTTCAATCTTAACCTTTAACGAGAGTGTATATAGGTGGATTTTGTCAGAACTGTGTTTGACTTATCGTAATAACTATTAAGTGTTCGTTAAAATAAAGTTGCACAGGAAAAAAAAAATCAGTTCAAAGTTCAGGAAAGCGAGCAAAAATTTTTTTTACATTGGAAAAAAATAATTAAACACTGAAAAAAAACTTAAAATTAATTATTTCTCGGAGATATTAAATTTTTTATATAACTTCTTTTGCATTTGTAGAAAATTTTAAAGGAAATATCATAGAATTTCCAATTTTAATCAAATAAATATTTACTTCAATCAACTAATTTTTATTTAAATCAAATAATTTCCAATTTTAATCAAATGAATATTTATCTGAATCAAATAAATATTTACTTGATTCAATTTTTATCAATTAAATATTTACTTGAGGGTAAGACTCCGTCAGAAAAAAAGCGATTTGCAAGTGGTCTTCCGATTTCTTCGAAACCTTGGGAAATAGAAGTCTTATATGAATTAAATTTAACCCTAAAAGGATTTTGAAAAATTTTCAAACTGGCGGCCGCTACGCCATATTGAAAATGAGTGTTGCGTTTTTTTCAAAAATTAATAACTCTGAAACTTTTTAATCGATTTTAATAAAATTTACAGGCGATATAGTTAAAAATACGTAGTTTAATTTGATATTATGAACAAAAAAAAATTTCCAAAATTTGTCAAAAAAAAAGTCAAAAAAATTTTTTGAATTAATTTTTAGTTCAGTTGGCCTAATTTTTGAATTTTCTAATAAGTAAATATCGATTCCTTGTAATTTCACCTTTCATTTCATAAAAAAAAATTTATGGAGACTCTAATAGTTCTCGAGATATTGCGACTTTAGTGGGAGCGCGTACCGCGGAATTGAACTCCGTAGCGAGGCGGAATATGAAGCGAGCGTACAAACGTGCACAATAGGGTGTCCGTAACAATGCGACTTTCGAATTTTGTTTACGCCACCCCCCAGTTTAGTTCCAATAAAATAAAAAAAAATTTCCCAAAATTTGAAGCCGATTGATTAATATTAACACGTGCCAGAGATCCATCGAAATTTCCCATTAAAAATACATAGGAAAAATGCACTTTTTAAAAAAAAATTCATAACTTTTTTAATTTTCATGCAAAAAATTCTCCAGGTCACATTCGCCTTCATTTTTAGCTGCACTATAAGATAGCACTTTGCCAAAAATTTAATTTTAAAAAATTTTTAAAATGGCGGATGATTAAAGTGGGTCATAAAAATGCACCACAATATATCCAAGGTTTTAACACATAAGTGTTGTCAAAAATTCAAAAAAATTACTTACTCGGGCCTATTTTCGATCGTTCATCATGAATCTGATATCAGAAATTAATTTTTCCAAATTTTCGATCCAATATGGCGGGTTCAAAATTTTGATTTTCTACATTTTTAAAGTAAAAATTCTAAAACAACGTCAAGGGCGATTTTTGGAAGCGCTATTTACACTCAGAGAAAAAGTTTATTTCACTTAACCAAACTGTTTAATTAACCTATTTTATTTGTCACGATAAAACAATTTTGTACATGTGTGAATTTAAAAATGGCGATCTCACTTGTCTACAGTCCGCGTTCGCGTCAAATTTATTTGTTAAATCGGTAAATCAAAGAAAAAAAATTATAAGTGTCGGTTAAATAAATATTAAATACATTGTGTTCATTGACTTACTGCATATTTAATTTGTACCAGTGAGAAGAATATTTACAAAAAGGTTTTGTGAAGTTTTCAGTTTGTTGTTTCGAATAAACTTTTTTCTGAGTGCACGTATAAAAATCATAATTATAATATGTTTAATGTAATATTTCAAATGTTTTTTTACAATTAAGTAATTTTGTTTATATGAAGAAATACATATATAATATTTTACTTAATTGTTATTTATTCTCCTCTAATAATGTTTGAGTTTCCTAATTTAATATTTTCTAGTATACATATTATTGGTTAATTTATAATTTATTATATGTATAATTTTAAAATATCAATAATTATATAATAAATTATAAATTAACCAATAATACGTACTAGAAAATATTAAATTAGGAAATTCAAATATTATTAGAAGAAAATAAATAACAAAATTAAGTAAACAAAAATATTTATTTAAATAAACCAAATACGTTTACTAAAACTATTTATTTGAATCAAACAAATCTTTTCTCTTGAAATAAACAAATTTTTTAGTTATATTAAATAAAATTTTTTGGTTAAGTGTAATAAGCATTTGGTTAATACAAATAAACGTATTGGAAGAAATTTTTTGGTTGAATCAAACAAACGTTTGGTTGACTGTATAGCAATGCATTTATTTGGTTGATTCAACCAAAATTTGGTTGATTCGAACAAATTTTTTTCTGAGTGTACGAATCTAATGTTAAAATTTTATTTTTCAAATTATTCGATCCACTATGACGGATTCAAAATTATGATTTTCTACATTTTTAAGTAAATATTCTAAATATTAATTTATAGATTAATATTTACAAAAAATAATTATTGGGATGTTTTCGAAACTCTTTTATAGAAATTTAACTTTTTTACCTCTGCTCTTAAAAATCGATTATTAAAGGAATATTTAAAAAAAAATTTGAATCCGCCATGCCATATTAGATTCGGTAATTTAAAAAATAAATTTTTAACATTAGATTCGTAAATAGCGCTTCCAAATATCGCCCTTGACGTTGTTTTAGAATATTTACTTCGAAAATGTAGAAAATTAAAATTTTGAACCTGCCATATTGGATCCAAAATTTTGAAAATTAATTGTTACGGACACCCTATTGTGCACGTTTGTACGCTCGCTTCATATTCCGCCTCGCTACGGAGTTTAATTCCGCGGTACGCGCTCCCACTAAAGTCGCAATATCTCGAGAACTATTGGAGTCTCCATAATTTTTTTTTATGAAATGAAAGGTGAAATTACAAGGAATCGATATTTACTTATTAGAAAATTCAAAAATTAGGCCAACTGAACTAAAAATTAATTCAAAAAATTTTTTTGACTTTTTTTTGACAAATTTTGGAAATTTTTTTTTGTTCATAATATCAAATTAAACTACGTATTTTTAACTATATCGCCTGTAAATTTTATTAAAATCGATCAAAAAGTTTCAGAGTTATTAATTTTTGAAAAAAACGCAACACTCATTTTCAATATGGCGTAGCGGCCGCCATTTTGAAAATTTTTCAAAATCCTTTTAGGGTTAAATTTAATTCATATAAGACTTCTATTTCCCAAGGTTTCGAAGAAATCGGAAGACCACTTGCAAATCGCTTTTTTTCTGACGGAGTCTTACCCTTGAATCAAATAATTTCCAATTTTAACCAAATAAATATTTACTTGAATCAACTAATTTTTATATCTAAATCAAATAAATGTTTATCTGAATAAAATAATTTCCAAATTTTATCAGATAAATATTTACTTGAATCAAACAATTTCCAATTTTAATTAAATAAATATTTACTTGAATCAAACAATTTCCAATTTTAATCAAAGAAATATTTATCTGAATCAAATAAATATTTACTTGAATCAAATAATTTCCAATTTTAATAAAATAAATAATTGCTTGAATCAAATAATTTCCAATTTTAATCAAATGAATATTTATCTGAATCAAATAAATATTTACTTGAATCAAATAATTTCTAATTTTAATCAAATAAATAATTTCTTGAATCAACTAATTTTTATTTAAATAAAATAAATATTTATCTGAATCAAATAAATATTTACTTGAATCAACTAATTTTTATTTAAATCAAAAAAAATATATACTTGAATCAACTAATTTTTATTTAAATCATATAAATCTTTAACTAAATAAAATAATTTCCAATTTTAATCAAATGAATATTTATCTGAATCAAATAAATATTTACTTGAATCAAATAATTTCCAATTTTAATAAATATTTCCTTGAATCAATTAATTTTATTTAAATCAAATAAATGTTTATCTGAATCAAATAATTTCCAATTTTAATCAAATAAATATTTACTTGAATCAACTAATTTTTATTGAAATTAAATAAATGTTTATCTGAATCAAAAAATTGATAAATTTTATTAAATAAATATTTACTTGAATCAAACAATTTCCAATTTTAATCAAATAAATATTTACTTGAATCAAACAATTTTCAATTTTAATCAAATAAATATTTACTAGAATCAAATAATTTCCAATTTTAATCAAATAACTATTTCTATGAATCAAATAAATATTTACTTGAATCAAATAATTTTCAATTTTAATCAAATAAATAATTGCTTGAATCAACTAATTTTTATTTAAATCAAATAAATATTTATCTGAATCAAATAATTTCTAATTTTAATCAAATGAATTATATTTGAATCAATAATTTCATTATTTGACTCAAACACCATTTAATTGATTTAAATAAAAATTTTATTTGATTCAAGTAAATGTTTATTTGATAACAGACAAGTAATCGGCTGTTGAATCAAAACAAATTTTTTTAGTGTATTTTGCCAGACTTTCAAGCCAATGCAAAAAATTAAAATATTTCTATTTAATCGTTGCTCGAAATTGTAAAAAAAAACATTTATGACGTTAACATTTGTTTGCAGAATTGCAGAAAAAGTAAAAAAAATATATAAATACATTTTTGATATTAATTTGTTTACAAAAAAAAAAAAAAATGACTTCCAACTCAGAATTGGAAAAAGAAGTGAAAAAAAACTCTCGACGAAAAAATTAAATAATTCCAATGAAAAATAATTTTATTTTCCCAACGAAATTGAATTAAATTCTATAAATCACTTTTTTATCGCTAGTTTCTCTCCTCTAAAGTTGATGGCTTACGAACATATAAATGAAACGTTAGTACAACTACAAGTTCAATAGAAATGTAATTTTCGTGTTGCATGAAAGAAAATAATAATTTTTCCGCGAGAAATTCTTAACTTTTGATTCACTTTTTATATATACACATTTATATATATCAAAAAATGCATATAGCTATGTATACAATTTATTTTTGTCACCAATTCATACTTAAAAAATCCATTCGTAATTGTTATTAATTTTTTTTTTTTTTTTTTTTTTTTTTTTTTTAATTTTCTTTACAATGATATTCACCTACGTAAGCGTGAAGAAAAAAATTAACTTTTAATGCGAACGAGATTAAAAACCATTGCGCGCGCGTTTATATTAATCGCAGTGAAAAATTATACCGATAAATGATAAAATTTTTTTTTTTTTTTTTGTTATTTATTATGAATATTATCCAGAATTGTGTTTCAATTTTATTGTATAGAATGCGTAACTAAAGAATCTCGCTGATATACTGAAGAGTATAAATTCACTAAAGTTTGTAATATCAAATGGGAGTGTATATAAATTTTCAAGTGGGGATATATTGTACTTTCGTAATCAATTTTTTTTTCGTAATCAAACTGTGAAATAGCAGAAGTCTGTCAAGTTTGAATTTATTTTTTTTATCGTTGTTGATTTTTTTACAGTGAATCACATTTTTTATTGAAATACAATTATTTCCTTTTTTATTTTCGATTAAATTTTTGTTACATTTTCGTGACAATACAATTTGAAAATATTTCTTTAATATTATTCAATTTACTCTCTAAATTTGAATTAGAAAAAATGTTTATTAATTCAAATTAATAATAACCGTGAGTGACTTTTTGCTGTTGAATTAGTAAATTTTACTAATTTTAATTTTTACTTTTGTGTTTCTCTGATTTCGAGACAAAATTTTGACTTTTCTTTTGTTCAAAATTATTTTCATCGTTTCATTTCAATTATTATTGTCTGGAATTTTGAACTAAAACTCTTCTTTAAATCTATTATTTTGAATAATTTCTGACAAAGTTTTTTTCGATAATTTTCAAATTCATTTGAAACAAATTAAAAACTTGAACTAGAACTTTAAATAATTTCAAAAAATTTAAATTAATCTTTTGCAAAAAAAAATTAATTCTACAGAATTGTTAGTTAAAAGTATGAAAAACTCGAATTTTCAAAAATTTTAATTTGAAATCTTTTGGAAAATTTCATTATTTTAAAAAATTAAATTATTAACTAAAACTTTAGCAGAAATTAATTTTTAAATCAGTTTTTATTAGAAAATTATACGAGAATTCAATTATTAAAATATAAAAATAAATAATTTATTGAATAATTGAATGTTTCTTAAAACTGAATTCTTATAAAGAATTTTGTCAACAACTTTTTTCATTTTTTTCATTTTTTTTTTCATTTTTTTGAATTCTTTCGGCGAATTTTAATAGAGTTTTTAAGAAAAATTAAATTCTTTTAAGAAATTCATTTAAAATTTTACTGATAATTGAATTTCTAGGACGAGTTTTATTATTTATGAAAATAATTGAAATCTTGTGCAGAAATTTAATAAAATATTTGAAAATAATTGAATTTCGGAGTTAAATTTTGCTATTTATAAAGATAATTGAAATGTTGAAGAGAATTTTGTTTTAAAATTTTTGAAAATAATTGAATTTCTCGCAAGTGTTTAAATCACATTTAAAAATAATTGAATTCTTGTGATGAATATTGTTATTAATAAAAAAAATTAAATTTTTACCATGAATTTTACTATAATTTTTGAAAATAATTTAATTTCTGACAAGAATTTTAATAACATTTAAGAATAATTGAATTCTTGTGACGAGTAATATTATTTATAAAAAAAAATTGAAATCTGACACGAATTTTGTTTAAATTTTTGCGAAAATTGAATTTCGTCAAGAAATTTTGCTTTTAATATTAAAAATAATTGAAATGTTGACAAGATTTTTTATCGAAACTTTTAAAAATAATTAAATTCTGCGAAGAAATTTTTATTTTTGAAAATAATTGACTTTTGTGATGAATATTGTTAATTATGAAAATAATTGAAATCCTGTAAAGAATTTTATTAAAATTTTCAAATTTTTGAAAATAATTGAATTTCTGCAAAGAGTTTTAATTATTTCTAAAAATAATTGAATTCTTGTATTGGAAATTGTTATTTATGAAAAAAATTGTAATTCTACGAGGAATTTTACTAAATTTGTTGAAAATAATTAAATATCTGCAAAGAAGTTTAAATTACATTTAAAAATAATTGAATTCTTGTGAAGAATATTGTCATTTATAAAAATAATTAAATTTTGTCTCGAATTTTATGAAAATTTTTGAAAATAATTGAATTTCAGCGAAGAATTTTGCTATTTATAAAGATACTTGAAATGTTGATGAGATTTGTTTTTTTTGTAAGTTTTTGAAAATAATTGAATTCTGACAGGAATTTTATTAAAATTTTTACGAATAATTGAATTTCGGCGAAGAATTTTGTTTTTAATAAAGATAATTGAAATGTTGACGAGATTTTTTTATTGAAACTTTTAAAAATAATTGAATTTCTGCGAATAAGTTTTTACTTTTAAAAATAATTGACTTTTGTGATGATTATTGTTAATTATTAAATAAATGAAGTGTTTGCCAAGAATTTTATTAAAATTGCTGAAAATAATTGAATTACTCGGAAGAGTTTTAATTATACATTTAAATATAATTGAATTCTTGTGATAAATATTGTTATTTATGAAAATAATTGAATGTTTACCATGAATTTTATTAAACTTTTTAAAAATAATTGAATTTCTGCGAAGAATTTTAATTACATTTAAAAATAATTGAATTCTTGTATATAGTACTGAATTTTGTTATTAATGAAAAACATTGAATTTTTGCCATGAATTTTACTAAAATTTTTGAAAATAATTGAATTTCTGCCAAGAATGTTAATTACATTTCAAAATAATTGAATTTCTGTGATGAATATTGTTATTTATCAAAAAATAATTGAATTTTGACTGGAATTTTATTTAAATTTTTGCAAATAATTGAATTATCAATGAATTTTGCTTTTTATAAAGATAATTGAAATGTTGAAGAGATTTCTAATCGAAACTTTTAAAAAAAATTGAACTTCTGCGAAGAAGCTTTTACTTTTGAAAATAATTGACTTTTGTGATGAATATTGTTAATTATGAAAATAATGGAATGTTTGCAATGAATTTTATTAAAATTTTTGCAAATAATTGAATTTCTCGGAAGTGTTTTAATTACATTTTAGAATAATTGAATTCTTGTTAGTGAATATTGTTATTTATGAAAATAATTGAATTATTTATCATGAATTTTATTAAACTTTTCGAAAATAATTGAATTTCTGCGAAGAATTTTAATTACATTTAAAAATAATTGAATTCTTGTGAAGAATATTGTCATTTATTAAAATAATTAAATTTTGTCACGAATTTTATGAAAAATTTTGCGAATAATTGAATTTCGGCGAAGAATTTTGTTTTTAGTAAAGATAATTGAAATGTTGACGAGATTTTTTATTGAAACTTTGAAAAATAATTGAATTTCTGCGAATAAGTTTTTACTTTAAAAAATAATTGACTTTTGTGATGAATATTGTTAATTATCAAATAAATAGAATGTTTGCAATGAATTTTATTAAAATTTTTGAAAATAATTGAATTTCTCGGAAGTGTTTTAATTACATTTAAAAATAATTGAATTTTTCTGATGAATATTGTTATTTTTGAAAATAATTGAATTATTTATCATGAATTTTATTATAACTTTTTGAAAATAATTGAATTTCTGCGAAGAATTTTAATTACATTTAAAAATAATTGAATTCTTGTAATGAATATTGTTATTTATCAAAAAAAAATTTTATTCTGACAGGAATTTTATTTAGATTTTTGAAAATAATTGAACTTCGTCGAAGAATTTTGTTTTTAATATAAAGAAAATTGAAATGTTGACGAGATTTTTTATTAAAACTTTTAAAAATAATTGAACTTCTGCAAAGAAGTTTGTACTCTTGAAAATAAATGTCTTCTGTGATAAATTCTTATGATTGTTAATAAATGATTGTTAATAAATGATTGTTAATAAATGATTGTTATTTATGAAAATAATTGATTTTTCTCTTGAATTTTATTATTAAAATTCCTGAAAATAATCTAATTTCTCTGAAGAGTTTTGATCCTTATCAAAACAATGGTATTCTTTTGAAGAATTACGTTAAAATTTTCTACTTTAAATTAGAAAATATTTTTACTAATATTCAAATTTAGAAAATAGATTTCATTTTGAATTAATTTAGTTCTTTTAATATTATTGTTTTAGACAATTTTGTTCTGTATATTTGTTTCCACTAACAGAATATTAGAAAAACTTGTTCTAAATTTATTCATAAAAGTAATTTTTTCAGGAATGAATCTTCTTAGACGGTTAAGTTTTCCTTTTAATATTTAAGCTATACACTACAACTTCAAATATTGATGAGATCCTTCAGTCTAGCAAAAAGTTGTATATTTCTTGGATAGAAAAAAGCAAAAAATAGAAAAAAAAAGTAAAGAAAATTATTAATTCAGTGAAAATTTCTATAAGTATACAAATTTTTCGCTTCGCGAAAAGAAATGAAGGGAGAGAACTCGAGAGAATCTTATGCGCGCACGATTGATTTAGTTGAGAATTTTAATAAGTTTTGTTGCCGTTTCTGAGCTTTGGAAAGAGAGAAAGCAGGAAATGGAGAGAGAAAAAAAATAGAAAGAGAGTGAAAAAGAGTGAAAAAGAGAAAAAGAGAAACACGATAAAAAAAAGAGGGTGGAAAAATGATATTGAATCGTTGCCAGAAATTGAGGAGAAACTATATCAGTTTCCTGCTTTTGAAAAAGTATAGACGTTCTTAAAGTTTCGAACATACATTTAAAACAAAATAATAGTGTATCGAGAGAATTTAAAAATCCCTCTCGACCAGTTTGTCTTTTCTCTCCCTCAATCTCTTCTTGTTAATTTCTTTTTCATTTCCTCCCCCGAAAAAATCGATGACGATAGAAAAAAAAAAAAAAATTCTTTTCCAAATACTTTCTCCCAACATGTATCGAGACATTTTTTTTTTTATTCTTTTTCTTTTTTAAATGCATACACATGCAATTTTTTTTTTTCCCTCCAATCTCTAGTGAGTGGAAAAATAGTATTTTTCTATAGCTAATTACTCGATCGAGGAAAACTGTTTGGCAAAGTTTCAAACTTGTCGTTAGTGAAACTACAAAACGAGGCTTTTATTATATAAAAAAAAAAGAGTTTCACCCTTCAACTTGTTAAGAACATCGATGACTTTTTCTTTCATGGCACTTTATATGCTGTTCTGTTAAACTATCAAAAGCTTTTAGTCTTTTCTTTTTTGTTTCTAAATTTCTCTCTTCTAAATAGCAATTTTTCCCAGTGTATATTATTATTGCAAAAAAAAAGAAAATGAAGAAA